TTTTACCCGGCAGAACGAAAGAAGGAAACTCCGCTTCTCAGTTGTCTTAGGCGCAGGTTTTTTGACAAACAATGACCTTTCAGAGGTCAAATTGCTGTCAAGAATATGAATTGGCTGCTTCGCAGCAACAAGTTTATAATTGGTACTGGTACTGGTATTGGGTATTTATATTGCGCCTTTCCCTTGCGGTTATGAAGCGCAAGCCAAGCGTCAATAATTCAGGAAAACAATGGTAGGCATAAAATCAGTCATTATTCAGGAACCCGAAGCATCACAGTAGTACAGTCACACAAACAACAAAGACAAATAAACAGATTACTGTACAACAATAAAAGCAGAGAGTTAGGCAAACAAGTAAGTCTTGAGTGCACGTTTAAAAAGATTAGGATCGGAGATATCTCTAAGGTCAGTTGGAAGATTATTCCAAAGTTTCGAAGCATAACATGGAAATGAAATTTTAAATCATAGTTTTGATTAGGAGCTTAAGGTCAATATACAAGAATACACTGTGTCTACTAATGCTTTAAATTGTCAAAACGCAGACCTGATCTGTAAAGCAGCAGAACAAAAAGCTAAATAGCGGATAGTCAAAACTATGATTTAAAATTGTCATGTAAAGGATTTGTTTCATCTCTAATTATTTCCGTTATTTTAAGTCCTATGCGCGTATCTTACAATTATCCAATTGTTTAATGTTGTGATACCTCCTGTATGAACGAGTAAGGATAAAATTAATATTGAATGCCGTTATAGTAATGCATATGACAGCTGCAAATGCTCATCTATCGGCATCCTAAACTGAGGTGCATAGTTCATGGCAAGGGCGTCGATCCGTGGTTGAATGTCGGGAGGGGGGACGAATTACAAAATAAAGAGGTGTTGGGCCTTAGGTTTGGAGCCGTTTAGTTCCCCCGGTGGGGGTCCAGGGGTAAAGCCCTTCGGAAGCTCTGGCGTCTATAGCCTTTTATAAGTCGTATCTAATTGATTTTAAGGTATGCGATCAACATTTATTTCCACACTACATCTTCAAAATACAGTGGCGGATCCAGAAATACGAAATAAAGGTGACCCATGGGAATTTTACAGATGGAGTGTAGACCACATCAACCCCACCATGGTTGGGGCTGAGGTAAGGAAATTTATGATTATGGTGCCTCTAGTTGGCCGGAAATTGGCACTCTCAGACTTGAATTTATATTTTTCTTTTTTCTCCACTTTTACATTTTCAAAAAAAAATTAGGGAGGGTGTGTCGGCTGGCCCCTTGAATCTGCCACTGAAATACTCATAATAAACATTTTTTTAAAATTTATTCTCATTATCATGCCCGCTTGGATATTTCATGCAAACAAACAATCATGAAAATAATGATTTATTATCTACTGATTAGCTTGTGACTATTCGAACCATGAAAAACAAGTAAGATAAACTTAAAACAGTAATTTGGTCTATTTGCGTGTACAATGCTTTTAAAATCAATCAAGACATTTTCTCCTCTTTGAATTTCACTTTTGTGTGTATTGCCTACGCTATTGTGAGTTGAAATACCGGTACATACCGTCTAATTTACGATTACACAGGAATAGGGAGATAGGAAGCACACAAGACATTAGTTAGCATTTTTATTTCACAAACATAAATTTTATTTACTTAATTTATCATTATCATGACGTAATGGCGAGATTGCGTCAAGGTAACATCGGAGTTCTTAAACTTGTGGTATCACTACTTGGAAATAGATAGCCTTATCCGTGTCGAAGGGCTATATACACTTCAATTGACTAACTACAATTTTTTGAAATTATGAAAACAGGAATCTATGTAAGCAGATAATATCAAACACATAATACGGGTCTTAATAATACAGTATACAAAATATATAAATCGTTAATAGTATAAATTGCGCACTCTTGAGTTTGAAAAAATGTTGGCCTAATAGGTTTACGTACGGTATTTAGGCCTACTTATTTTTACAACGCACAGTACATACGTTTTTTCACAATAAATTTAGTCTTTGATAACCGTTGCACCCATAAAATCGTTGAAGTGGTTATAATACTGAGATGGTTACCAAATGTACAGACAATTGCGAGTTTACTACTCGGTTATGATCCGGAAATTGGAACCGCACTTGGAACAAAGCACATGTGAACAGACAAAATTAATGACAGTCATTCGTAACTGTTGTTCTTTCCACTCCCTTTGAAATGTGGGGTTTTAACTATAGAAGATTGATGAAAAGTGGAGGAGGACAACTGATATGATGTCCCCTACTTTGAAAAGTGGGGTGACGTGTCCTCCACCGATCGACGTCCATGCTTCATAGGCAAATATAAATAAAAATGCATCGGATAAATGCAATGACATTTTTTGAAAATGCGCCTTCTCATCGGCTTTAACTTCAATATTTATGATCACTACTACTATTGTTACCTGATTTAGTGTAGGCCTAATAAATACCGGATTTCTTTTTGCCCAATTACAAATCTGATATTTCAATTTAAAGAATGCTTATTTTAAATAAATGGCATTATAACAGCTTATTCCGCGTATGCAAGCAATATCATACATTAATTTAATTTAATTTATTGGCACAAACGGCATGTTGCATACATTTTATGGTATAACAATGCCAAACTGTGTATTTGGTGACGCATAATACCGTACCAGTACACAATAAAATTATATAAAAATTCCTTATCATGAGTACACGTAGCAACAAGCAAAATACCACTTATGCACACCAGTGGCGGATCCAGAATTAAACAAGGCGCTCCCCTATCTTATCAGTAGCCTTAGTCCAATCTATAACCAAGTGTGAAAGCGACACTTATGCATACCAGTGGCGGATCCAGGATTAAACAAGGCGCTCCCCTATCCCATCAGTAGCCTTAGTCCAATCTATAACCAAGTGTGAAAGCGACTTCCAATTTATTGGTTTACCGCACATTTATTCGCTCTGTGTTCAATCATGGAGGTTCAACCATGGTATTTCTTCAATGGATTAATTGTGGTCACCAACAATTATTGAATATATAAATGTGTAAATAACGTTGTGTTGGACTGTTACACAGCAGGATTATATAAAAAAAACCCTTTATTTTTTCAGGTGACGTCCACTAAGTCAACAGCTCTTTTGAAAGCCGACGATGAAGTCTTATTTGTTACAGATCCACGCGGGTTCAAATTCATTTTTAATGAATCAATTTCTTTCCTTTACGACGACCCAGCATTTGAGTAAGTAACGAATACTGGGACCTCAAAAAGTAACCATTTTACTTTATTTTTGTTTTAAGTGGTTATTTGTAAAATACGACGATGAACGTAGTACCATAACAATTCAACACTAATTCAATTCAATTCAATTCAAAGTAACATTTATTTACTTTTCCTTTTCAATTCATACAAAAAACAAGACAAGATCATAACAAATTCATGAGAAAAGGAAAAAGGCATAGACCCAGGAAGAAAATCATCTTGTGACGATTCAGCCTAAGGTTTTGCCAAACGCTGTAGGTGTTTACAGTGTGAACCACCACTTTAAATTCGTTGCGCAGAAACGCAAAACCAAATTACTGTGATGCGAGACAACCATTATCTTTGAGGCGTGCCAGTGAGAAAGAGGCTATCAGAACGTGTGAAGTAATTCAATATTGCGTAATGTTCATAATCACTACCGTAATAATCATATACTAACTTGAGTTAGGACGAAATGTTTGTAAAAATTTACCGTCCAGACGTGTGCACAGATCTGGAAGAAATATAGCGAGGCCACCATTCTTTAGGTATCTTACCATTTAATTGGCATATTTGCGTTGCTATGTGTCCATTAAAATATCGTAAAAAATATAATTTTACACTAACACGAATCTTCAAAATTATGGACGAGGAATTTGTTGTCACGATACAACGCATCTGAGAATTCATTAAACAAACAACGTTAGTAGAGTACAGTGGAAGGATGAAAATAGTAATATTCAATATTCCACATAATAATAGTGGAACGTAATGTAACCTTGCTAAGGAATTGTACTTTAAATTTAATTATTTATAAAATATACACTCTTGAACTTCCGTAAAGCAATATCAAGTCACAAAACTAATATGATACGGTAAGTGACGGCATCATGGCCAACCACTAACATTCCAATCTAGAGCAAGGAGGGTCAGAATACCCATTAATCTAGTGCAAGTATGATCACCCCCACCTTGGTGGTTACCATGGTGACTACCTTCCCTTAAAATAGAGAGCAAAGAGAGAGAGACAAGAGAGAACATGGTTAGAATTATTGGAAAATTGTTGTGGAGTAGATATAGAACAGTCCTTGATTAAATACGATACAAACTACTGTAAACTATACTTTGATTGGACCTTCGTTTCTGTGTTTTACTGTGTGAAACATCTTGCCACATAGACTATTGGGAACAAGTAGCCGGCAAGGGGAAAGGCATCTAAAACTCCACGGTTACAGTAACACTTCAGTAAGTGCGGCTAAAACAAAGGAGTATGTTGACTCAATATATAATAGAATAATACATATTATAAAGTGACCATATTATTTTTAAAAATAAGTCAATACGTGACGAATAAGCTTGAATTGATTCACTAAACTGGGATCCAGTTGTGTCCAAACCCCAGGGGAGATCAGAGGTGAATTCCCTTGATCTCATACATTCTAGTTAATCAACGTTCCGCAAGGTAGGCTACCCCTATGAACATTTACTAATTCAACCGAGCATATGGGAAATCTGCTTTTTTAAAATTATGGATCGCCGTCAAAGGTAATAGCTATTAATTCATTGATTTACAGATGTCGTCTACAGTTGAACAAAATCGTTACTGCCGTAAATTACGAAGGTGACAGAGTAGTTGTGACGTGCAAAGATGGAACAACTTTTACTGGTGACAACGTGTTGATGACGTTCAGTCTCGGAGTCTTGCAGAACGGAGTCGTAGACTTCCAACCCGAACTCCCAGAATGGAAAATCGAAGAGCTGTATCAATTCATCATGGCAGATTTTACTAAGATTTTTATGAAGTTTGACACGCAATTCTGGCCAGACGAAGAGTGGTTCATACATGCGCACGAGAGGCGAGGATATTTCCCTGTGTTCTACAATCTCGAGGCAAAAGGTAAACTATCTCTTGAACTATGTCTTGCAAAAAAACCCAAAATTTTATCATATATGATTTTCTGTTTCCTATTAGGAATAATGTCTCCATTGAATATCTCCCGAGATGTCTCCGATATTTTGTATTATGTACGTTCGATTAAAATTGCTCTTTTTTAACTATCAAAACTCTTGATTGCAGGATTGTTTCCAAAAGGAACCAACATGCTTGCTGCCTTTGTTTCAGGAAATGAAGCTAAGAGAATCGAACAGCAACCGAATTCAGAAACCAGCGCGGAGATCACAAATGTCCTTCGTACCATCTTTGGAAATGAAGTTATTCCACCAACTGAAATCATTCACTCTGGCTGGAGTATCAACCCCTTCACCTATGGCGCTTACTCAAACTGGCCGGTTGAAGTGTCAGAAGAATGCTTCAAAAAGATCGAATCTCGAGTCGGTCCAATATTTTTTGGAGGAGAGCACACAGATCCCATTTACAACGGCTACATTATTGGTGGTGAACTTAGTGGTAAAAGGGAGGCCATGAAAATTCTTGATTGTATGAACCTTCGTGATGTTGATGAGTGTCCAATATGGCAAGAAGTGAAAAAGGCAGACTGTGACTGCACATCAGGTGCATCTATAATTACCAAAAGTGTTGGCCTACATTTAGTTGCACTGCCCGTGTTTTTGGTGCTCATGATGTAAGAAATATAGCGGTTTTCTAGTTCTAATACCGGTAAATTATATACAGTAGTATTTTTCTGTTCCAAAAAGACTACATTTCAGACTTCAGTTGTGGCAGTTTTTGAGGCATTTTATTATTTTTCTAAAAAATATTTGATACTGTATTTATAGAACTTAGGAAGCAACAAGAGTTGAAAACATCAATATTACTTTAAATATAATTCATAAATACCGGTAAATTATATACAGTAGTATTTTTCTGTTCCAAAAAGACTACATTTCAGACTTCAGTTGTGGCAGTTTTTGAGGCATTTTATTATTTTTCTAAAAAATATTTGATACTGTATTTATAGAACTTAGGAAGCAACAAGAGTTGAAAACATCAATATTACTTTAAATATATGGTTATCTTCCATGCAGAGGGGAGCGTACATTTGTTCAAGGACATGGTAAATATATGTTGTAGAGGACGGGGGAATGAATTCCAATGATGACTTGAGAATAAGCAATGAATTGAGCCAGGACCTGCGGATTTATTAACAGTGATATCATTAAAGTAATATTTCAACAGATTGAAGGCATAGATGTCAATATCAGAGATCGCGGGAATGAGGACATTACAAGGGCTGTCTCTTATACACATCTAGATGTGTATAAGAGACAGGCTATGTGTCCAATAAAATATCGTAAAAAATATAATTTTACACTAACACGAATCTTCAAAATTATGGACGAGGAATTTGTTGTCACGATACAACGCATCTGAGAATTCATTAAACAAACAACGTTAGTAGAGTACAGTGGAAGGATGAAAATAGTAATATTCAATATTCCACATAATAATAGTGGAACGTAATGTAACCTTGCTAAGGAATTGTACTTTAAATTTAATTATTTATAAAATATACACTCTTGAACTTCCGTAAAGCAATATCAAGTCACAAAACTAATATGATACGGTAAGTGACGGCATCATGGCCAACCACTAACATTCCAATCTAGAGCAAGGAGGGTCAGAATACCCATTAATCTAGTGCAAGTATGATCACCCCGAGTGGTTCATACATGCGCACGAGAGGCGAGGATATTTCCCCGTGTTCTACAATCTCGAGGCAAAAGGTAAACTATCTCTTGAACTATGTCTTGCAAAAAAAACACCAAAATTTTATCATATATGATTTTCTGTTCCCTATTAGGAATAATGTCTCCATTGAATATCTCCCGAGATGTCTCCGATATTTTGTATTATGTACGTTCGATTAAAATTGCTCTTTTTTAACTATCAAAACTCTTGATTGCAGGATTGTTTCCAAAAGGAACCAACATGCTTGCTGCCTTTGTTTCAGGAAATGAAGCTAAGAGAATCGAACAGCAACCGAATTCAGAAACCAGCGCGGAGATCACAAATGTCCTTCGTACCATCTTTGGAAATGAAGTTATTCCACCAACTGAAATCATGCACTCTGGCTGGAGTATCAACCCCTTCACCTATGGCGCTTACTCAAACTGGCCGGTTGAAGTGTCAGAAGAATGCTTCAAAAAGATCGAATCTCGAGTCGGTCCAATATTTTTTGGAGGAGAGCACACAGATCCCATTTACAACGGCTACATTATTGGTGGTGAACTTAGTGGTAAAAGGGAGGCCATGAAAATTCTTGATTGTATGAACATTCGTGATGTTGATGAGTGTCCAATATGGAAAGAGGTGAAGAAGCCAGATTGTGACTGTACATCAGGTGCATCTATAATTACCAAAAGTGTTGGCCTACATTTAGTTGCACTGTCCGTGTTTTTGGTGCTCATGATGTAAGAAATATAGCGGTTTTCTAGTTCTAATACCGGTAAATTATATACAGTAGTATTTTTCTGTTCCAAAAAGACTACATTTCAGACTTCAGTTGTGACAGTTTTTGAGGCATTTTATTATTTTTCTAAAAAATATTTGATAATGTATTTATAGAACTTAGGAAGCAACAAGAGTTGAAAACATCAATATTACTTTAAATATATGGTTATATGAGATATCTTCCATGCAGAGGGGAGCGTACATTTGTTCAAGGACATGGTAAATATATGTTGTAGAGGACGGGGGAATGAATTCCAATGCTGACTTGAGAATAAGCAATGAATTGAGCCAGGACCTGCGGATTTATTAACATTGATGTCATTAAAGTAATATTTCAACAGATTGAAGGCATAGATGTCAATATCAGGTTTTACAGAGTGACTCGGTAATTTGCTTGCGCTTAGTTTTCTTAGTGTCACTGGTAACCCATGGGGAGTGCATTTTTTCATTGTACCAATAATTATTGGACATTAAACAATATCATGATTAATATTACCATTCCATAAATCATGGTGCACACTGCATCGATTTCCGACGCGAATTTTAAGATCACAAAGCAATATATTGATACCAGCTCAGAACTGCAGAAGCAGGCTAACTGGCATTGCATTTGAAAAATACTTGTTGAAGAATTCAGAGATACAGTTGGTACAGAATACTACTATGTGAACCATAATTTTAGAAAGACCCCGCAAATTGAAAACAAATCTGAATACTATACATTTTGAAAAGACGGCGTCTGTCAAATTCTCCCGACTTCCTGATTTCTTGTCTCGATACCGTGTTAGTCGTAAAGTCATCTATGATGTCTTCAACCCAGCGGCGGATCCAGGAATTAAAAGGAAATAATGAGAGCTCAGAGAGGGGCTCTTACAGATGGAGGGTCTATACCTCTCAGCCCCATCATGATTATGGCACCAACACTTGAATAGGCTAGGCTGTAATGTTCTTTTTATCACTATTTTTTTTTTATTTTGAAAAATTTAGAGCCTCTGCACAACGAAGATTTGGCCAAATTCCGTTTTAGAATGCATGCGAGAATTCAACGTTAATTTCGCATAGCCAGACGACTTTATGTGACGTCATTAAGTTCAACATCCTACCATCGAAAGCTCCAAATGCTGTTGTTTCGCCCATTATACACGGGTATTTTATTCAGGCACAGGGCGAAGGTACTATGGAGTGACTACTCTAGTTTTATAATGTAATGAATTTTCTGAGAGACACCTACCGTATAATCTGTATCAACGTCACTAGTTTAATTTGCATTTTTGCTTGGAGGTACAGTTTGTCGGTCAGTTGATCCATTGACAGTACCGATTTTCATGTTGTTGGAGCCATTTAAACAATTTCTACATTCTAAATTTCACTATTTTTCTATTTGTTTCTTGGAATTTCAAGTTAAAATTGAGGAAGTATCAATAGTTACTTACAAAGTGAATTTTGTTTTAATAATGGCAAATTATATAGAATAGTTATAATAGAAGAAATTTATGACAACGTTGATGGTTTTTGCACAATACAATTTACCAGGCCCTGAACTATGCCTAAAATGGGCCTCGTTCTAAAAAGAGGCCCGTTTTAGGCTATTGGGGGGAGACTGGCATTTCCCAGAGCTCCTCATCGGAGCTAAAAACGACAAAAAGTTATTGGAAACATTGTCAAATCACCCATTGCACATTGCAATGATACCTCTCATAGTTTTAGGCATATGGCCAATGGTTATACGATCGATATCCCCTATGTTATTTGATGTAATAATAAGAAATACAAAAGAAACAGTGTAGTAGGCCTTATGCAAGTAATTTCTGAACTCAAAAAATATAAATATGCTTAACTTTCACGGTTACATTCTTCATTTACCATCTAGTACATATACATCTTGCTCCTATTTGAGCACGAGCACATGTATTCCAATATAACTTATATCGGAAAGATATCTTAATTAGTGCTTTTATAACAACTCCCTGATTCCATATTATAATTATCTTGGAAACTCGGAAGGTCACTTTCAGCTTTCGTAGGAATCTGACAAGGAAAGAAATACATAAACAGCCGCCATTGGAACTCGAACCTGGGACCCTCCCTATACATGGCGAACGTCATAACCACCTGACCACGAAGGCTGGATAACACACGAGTACCGATGGCGGACCGCCACGCTCGAAGGCAGTCCCAAGGCCAGCTATCGCTCGCCTCTGACCATGTAAAAAGACCTTCTGTTTTGTTTACCTGTCTACCTTAAGCATGCCTTAAGTGTGTTTAGATTTTGTTATCTGAGGTCATTTCAGTGCCAATCGAGGTCAGCATTTTACGCTTATTTTTTTCTCCGGAGGTTACGACGCCTCCAGCAGATGGAAACACATTAAATGCGATGACGTTACACATGTACACTCCGGATACGGTAGTATCTAATCCCAAGAAGGATGTGAATTATTATCTACTGTAGAACTGTATATGGTCAACTATATATATTTTACCACGTACCAAATCATATAAAATACCGTCGAGGTTATTAGTACGAATACGAGACTATCATATTGGTTTACACTTCAATTGACTAACTACAATTTTTTGGTGAAGGCCAGAGGACTGGCCGAAAATTTCTTCCGAAAATAAATGAAGTGTTCTACAGTCTACATGCCTTGTTGTCATAATTTTTTGTTTCAACGACATTCTGGTTTTTATTTAAAAATTAGACATTGCAGTACAAAACTGAATTGAGTCAATTTACAAAAATTATAAAATCAATCATTAAAAATGCACATATAAAAATACATTATATATATCCACATACACATAAAAAAAAAATCTCGAGAAAAAAAACTGTCACATCATCAAGGGGTTTTATATTTATATATGTATGTGTGTATGTACTGTATGTATATATATAGCCTATATGCGTGTAATTTTTAATTTGGATTAACACACATTAACCAATCAGCGAATGCGGTACCGTGGAAACGTCCACTTCAACAAACGAAAATCGTATTGTTAGTTTCAACTGACTTTCATAGATTGTGCAACACTTTCCCTTTGATCACACAGAGAGCCTAGATGCTAAGACAATTACAGTACTTGTTTACATCTTCCCAGTGACCGTTTGATGTGGCAGTTCTCATGACTCAGGTCACCGATGTACAGTTTATGATTTGCATGTGTTTTATCTCGAATCATTGAAGCGGATTGAAGGTGGTCAGACAGCTAAGGTTATTACGCATAGACAAGTGCACATGAGCTACAGGCCACAGTATACAGTTTAGTATAGTAGTGAAAGGATATACTGCTGATCACTATGTTCTTGCGGGCTCTATCGCTCCTCCTGACATTTTATTTGGTTAGGTCGGAGAACGATGCAAAAGTACTTATCCTCGGTGCTGGTGCAGCGGGTTTAACAGCCGCTGAAGTTTTCCATAACCAAGGAATGGATGATTTTATAATCATTGAAGGCGATGACCACATTGGCGGGCGAGTAACTGATGTCCCTTTTGCTGGGGCAATTGTAGAACTGGGAGCAAACTGGGCTCAACCAGGAGATACCAGTATCGTTACAGAGGTTCTGGATCTTGGAATCAAGCATCATGTATCTGATTTCGACTCTCTGTTGGTCTTTAACCAGACTGGGAATGACGTTACAAATTCAACGGATCCAATCTGGGAAAGGTTAGAAGAGGCGATTGAGTATATGGCAGAGAAGGCAGAGATTTTAATCAATGAAAAGAAATCTGACATTTCCCAACGAGCAACTCTTCGTTTGGGCGGATGGTATCCCAAGACACCTGTAGAAAAAGCCGTCGAGTGGTTTGATTTTGATTTTGAATGGGCTGACATTCCCGAGGTTAGTTTCACAAATTGATTTAAATTTTAGTGTCCACAGACTTCGGTCGGAAGAATTCATATACAGTACTGTTGTCTGAAGAATGCTTGACTGAATCTCTTGGTACAATTTGTTGTGAAACGTGCCACTGCTTGAAGCACTTTTTATCGAATGGCGCAAATGATAATAAATAAATCAATTTATCAATCTTGAAATGATAGAATAGGACAGACCAGTGTTTGCATATAAACACCGTACACTATTGGCGCCGCTTGCCTCTCCATTCTCTATTATTTGGGTGTCTAGAAAACTCGGATCTAGAAAAGTCAGACCTCACATCTCTAATCTCTGTTTTCTAGTTCTAGAAAACCCAGATTTATTAACAGACCATACCATTTATTGTTAGAGGGAAATTGGGAGTGGGGGCGGGGAGGTGCGGGCGGGGTGGTGCGAAGGTATAGTGAGTAAGGGGCTCAATGATTAAGTGAGGGTGCGTTTCTATACACCCCTATTATTTTGCCTTTCTATGATCACCTGACCTCAAAATAGTTTGCGATTATTATTTATTTATTGCCGATGTCAGATTTATTAAGAATCTATATTGCGAAAGGAAAAGGTCAATACCGGACATGTTGTAATACTATCGCCTTACCTTGTGTAAATTCGACTGGTAGGGAAGAGGAAATACTGTAGTTAGAAATAAAATATGCATTGTAGCTGTGACCTCTTTGTCAATCACTGGTGGTAGACTCGCGTGCGCTTGGTTGAGGTTCATCACCCTTTTATATAGTTTATTGCATTATATACAATCTGCAATCTACAGGTGGGTCTACGCAGGACAGCATTAGGAAACGAAGTATAATCTGAAGGAAGAAAATTGACAATTAAAAACGAACAGTCCTCGATCATGGTGGCGCGTGCATCGGTCAAGCTTGTAAAAGAAAATAGTGAACATGAAAAGTAATGAAAACATCAACAAATAATATTTTTTTATTATATTATTTTTGTTGACCATAGGTTATTATGCCTACCACAACTTTAAACTTTACTCGGATTTCACTTTTGATACAGTGGTACTAATCACCTGTTGTCAGTAAATGATTACCAGTATAAAAAATAATTACTATATTACTACTAATACTAAATAGTACTATTTTAAACTAAATTACATAGGCCTAACAAAAGATTGTATTAAAATAATTAAAGCTAGTAAATCCCCCTCCTTCTTCCCTCGCCCCAAACAAATTCGGATCAACTGTACAAAAGTTACACTAATTTAGCGTATAGGTTACGGTTAGATTTATGATAGATCCACACGAAATATAATTTTACAATATAAATATAAATAAGTCTATGTATACACACACAAACGCGCACACATGTATTTTGTACCGTATATATTTTAACATTGTTACATTTTTATAAAGTACGATGTTCATTTTATTGTAGTGTTTTGGCGACGACTGCCTTCCATAATTGATGTTTTTTAGGCAGTGGTGAATCTTGTTACTTTTAACTCAAATTAGTGGGAAGCTGATAGACATTGTTTTGCTTTTCATGTTTTTTCGCACCAAATATTTTGTTTTATAAGCCACGGTCAATCTACAATAATAATAATAACACTGAGCCTGGGTAAACTTTTAATTTTCTTGTTTAAAAGTTGTATTGTATTTATTATAAATAATAATACTGTATTATATTTTAAATAGGCCTAATATGACATACTAAAACATAATTTAATGTATAACATTTGTTTTCCTTAATTAATCAAGATGTAAAGACTTGTTAGTTTAGGAGAACAAAATAGTTGAAGGGATGACTCGAGATAATCTTAGTACTATTGCTGTGTATAGCATTTTCAATATTTATATGCCTGAGTTTTTACGGCAGGTAATTCCCAGAATGAGAGCGATAGCTTGGCATCTTGGTGTGCACACTGTCAGAACTTTCAATTTCACTCTCGTATCACTTGGTTATAGCCATTGAACAGACAGTCCACTACATGTTTATATCTGTTGATGTGTCGCCTACACATCACTGACAGATTTTAGTAGCTCCCCTTAGTTAACAATCCGATCTCACCTTTAAGTAGACCTATTACTAAACCGAATAGATAGGGTCAATGGCGGAACCTTCGAGAACACAAGAGTACCGGTACAGGCATCAAAATTGTATTCAATGCTCTCTGAGGGCAAAACGTCAAGTGAAAAAGAAAGGTTATTCGAAAAAAATATTTGTTAGTATTCCACCAGTTAGGCCTACTTGCAACAAAGTAGACAAGTGTCAAGCAAGCGTAGTATCGTGTTTTTTCGTCCATATTTAACTACCTGTTCTTCAAAATTTAAGGTCAACATACGAGTATACAGGCCTACTAATGCTTTAAATTGTTAAAACAAAGACCAGCAGGATAAAAGGTCAATAGTTAATTGATAGTCAATAATAAAACTATAATTTAAAATTGTCATGTAAAGGATGTGATTATTTCCGTTACTTTAAGTCCCATGCGCTTTTCGTACAATTATTATATTGTTTAGTTGTTTGCTAGCTCCTATATGAATGATCATGGCTAAAAGTAAAGGTGAATGCCCTAATAATATAGCATATATATGTATATGTATGTATATATACATATATATGCTATATTAGGGCATTCACCTTTACTTTTAGCCATGATCGTTCATATAGGATCTAGCAAACAACTAAACAATATAATAATTGTATGTATATATATATATATATAAATATATATATATATATAATGTATATGTATATGTATATGCATGTATATGTATATGTATAATGTATATGTATATATGCGTATTACGCAATACCTTGAGAAAAAAACGTGTCCTAATGTGAAAACACAAGGGTGTATACCACTTGGCCTCATAGTTCAGTTGGTAGAGTATCCGAACGGTAATCGGAAGGTCTTGAGTTCGAATCCCGATGGGACATAGGTTTTTCTCAAATATTTATTATCATCTTTAATCAACACCAGTGGAAGTATATCTCCATACCGTAGTTATTTTCATGTATATATATATATATGTAAGCCGATATGCAATAAGTACGATTGCACAAAGTATAAACGTATATACATTGACATTATATAGACATAAAACTATTTTAATTCGAATATTTCGAGCACTCCTATGCTCTTCCTAAGCGATAACAAGTATGATTAAAAAAGTCTCACAAAGTAGTACACAGGAATAAACAATTAAAGCAGTGACTGCGATAGATCGTTAATGATACGCAATTAAAGGCGGAAGTATAAGGGGCGGTGCAGCAACAATGAAGATAAATAAACAAAAGTTAATCTGCCGGCTATAGGCCTGTGATCTCAGCATGATATCGGTTGCTAAAGAAAAATGTAAGTGCTAATTATCTTGGAGAAATCCTAAGACTTTATTAATGCCATGTTTGTGTGTTTAATTTGATTATCCATTTTAATTCACAACATCGTCTGTCGGTTAGAGATTTAAAACCAGTAGCTAATAAAATACATTTAAGGTTAATAATAGAATGGTTGGCTTAGTTGAAATGTTTAGCTACAGGGAAGCTAAATGCATTGTCTCTGATAGATTTTTTTTATGGTTATTGCACCTGAGCCTGAACCCGTTTCCCCGATGTATATAATATCCATACACTGGGTACACCATATTGGAAGCGTTGCAAGTTAGGAGTGGTAGGTGTATAGATAGGTTTAGAACGGGTGTTAACTAGTGTCGTCGGTGATGAGGAATTTGCAAACTTGGCATCGTGAATTGCCACAAGGGCCACTTTAGGAGCGATGGGGGAGTTTAGAGGATGCGAGTAGTGAATTGAGGTTATGCGGTTGTCGGTAAGCTATGAGGGTGACAATAATCCTCAGCACTCCGCTGAGCACTTTAGCCTGCCACACCCGAAACAATATTGTGGTTTCGCCTTTGCATACCTTGTCCCTTTATCAATACATTCGTTAATTCCAACGAGCAAAATAACGGTTTGTATAAGGCATTTTACAATTTTTGATTTACTTGTCACCGAATTGAATCCTTTGTTAAATGAACTGGACAAGAACCTTGATTTAAGGAAAAAAAAACTTTCAATTTATTGGTTCACTGCAAATTGGTTTCAACTGTGGTCCCCTATGGCGGTATACACAACTGAATATTATATATGTGTAATTTACGTTGTGACGGTCGATATGTTTTATATAGTGGACTGTAAACTAGATTATCAAAACTTTTTATATTTTCAGGTGACCTCCACGAAGTCAACAGCTCTTTTGAAAGCCGATGAAGATATATTATTTGTTACGGATCCACGCGGGTTCAAGTTCATTTTCAACGAATCAACTTCTTTCCTTTACGACGACCCAACATTTGAGTAAGTAACGAATACTGGGGCCCCAAAGAGTAACCTTTTACCTTTTTGTTTTGAGTGGTTGTTTGTAAGATACAACAATGAACATAGTGGATGGTATCATAAACAAATAAAGATTTTGCCAAGCGTTGTACGTGTTCACAGTGTGAACCAAGGCTTAAAATTCGTCGCGCAGACGCAAAACCAAATTATGCGACAACCAGTCTTTAAGGGGTACCAGTGAGAACGAGGTTATGGACACGAGGTTATTGACACAAGGTTGTGGACACGAGGTTAAGAACACGAGGTTGTGAGAACGTGGTTGTGAGAACGTGTAATTAAGTAATTCAATAATGCGTTATGTTCATAATCACCGTAATCATCATACCGTATACTTTGAGTCAGGACCAAATGACGATGTGACGATTTACCTTCCAGACTCGGGCACAGATCTCGAAGAACCTTAGGCCTAGCAACATTCTTTTAGATTTCTTACCATTATTGGCATGTTCCTATTTTCGTCCATTAAAGTATCGTAAAAATATAATTTTACACTAACAACTACTGGACGAGGGTTTTTTTTTTTGTCAGGCTACAAAAGCAACCCATGTGAGAATTCATTATTCAAATTACGTTAGTACAGTAGAGTGGAAGGAGCAGAGTATTCAGTATCACGCTCGGGCGCTGACGGGGGAGGGGTGTGGCGGAACGCCAGGGCCCCCAGACACGAGGGTCCCGACATTGTAGTTAAAAAAAGAATATAAACTATTATATACCATACATTCATTCAATGGGGCCCCGACAGTTTTAGACATTGAAAATACACTGGACTGGCATCATCAAACAGAAAGGCTTATGTAAACGATCGCTACAGTTTTCTGCTTATGTTGCAGTTTGTAGTGCCAAACACACTTAGGCTACGTTCAGACTTGGAGATAAGCCGGGTTGGAGTTAAGCCCGGCCTAACTTTGCCGGGCGTTCAGACTAGCAGGATTAGCCAGGCGCGAGAATTTGCATAATATTGAACCGTAACCAGGAAACGTGTTTCGAAACATTGCGCACGAAATGAAGTCCCCTCGGACCCCCACTAGGGGCCTTCACCACTGGGCCCCGACCGGGGGCCCTAAGCGGTCTCCCTGGCCCCCAGAGTCTGTTTGTTCACTTCGCTTGCTTATTAGGGCCCCAAATAACATTCACCGCCAGGGCCCTACAAACACTGTGACGCCAATGAGTATAATGGAACGTACCACTTCAGTGAGCGCGGCTGATACAAGCGTATGCTCACTAAATATATAATGGAATATTAAATATATATACATATATTATAATTTTTTTTTTTTTTTACTATATTCTTTATCAGTATCTTACTTGTATTTGTCAACATAAAACAATTATTGGTTCAGTCATTTATTTAAAATTCTTTGATAACGTTTGCAGTGGCAGATTCAGCTTTTTTGGGTGGTGGGGGGGGGGGGGGGGAGAAGGGGGGGAAAAAGAAAATTATAGGCCTATGCAAATTTGTCTGAGAGTGCCATTTCCGGCTATCTATAAGTGCCATAATCATGGTAGGACTGAGAAGGTATCCATCCATCCGTAAAAGTCCCGTCTAGGCCCTCACTATTTCAAATTCCTGAACGACTAACACTCCGTATCACACTCCGTATCGAGAACAAAATCAGGAAGTTGGGAAAACTATCCAAAACGTTTGTAAAGTCGGTATAATATATAATGTAAATTATTAAATGATATCAGTACGGTAACCACTAAAACTACAGACAAAACAAACAAGCTTATGGATTAGTGTGGTTGTACAATATAAATGATTCACTATCCTTTTAGTTTTACTCGTATACACAAAATAAATATGAAATACTTCAGGCCCATATAAATTTATACTTCCTTTTCACTCTTCGTTAATAAATAATAGCAAAGATAATTATAGGGAATTTCAGGGGCGGATCCAGAATTTTTCAATTTGATAGGCCTATGTACAGTATATATTTTATGTTGTTTGTTGAATTAAATATGCATAATTGTGTAATTGGTTGACTGCCAATTTTTCAATGCTAAGTGGATATGGGCCTAATGCTCTCCAATTTTTTTTTTAGCTTAGGTGGATGGATATAATGCGTAACTCTCCTGCAAGTATCAACCCACCCCAATACTCACAGCTTCGCGAAAGGCGGCCATCTCGTGAGTACTACTAACCCACATAGTGGGGGGGGGGGGCGGTTACACTGCTGTTGTAGTTCGATGCAATGGGATCCGGGTTCGAATCATTTGCTGTAAAGAAGTTGAAAGGTTTTGCCACGCGCTGGACGTGTTTCACAGTGTGATCGAACACTTTAAAGTGGTCGCGTAGAAACGCAAAACCAAATTATGCAATTGTTGTCCGACATGGCCTTGCGGTACTCTGGCCTCGAGGTTGTCCGACATGGCCTTGCGGTACTCTGGCCTCGAGCCAGCCAATCTTTTTCGTGACAACAGCCATTTGGCTTTGAAACGTGCCAGAGAGAACGAGGTTATGAGAATGTGAGAACTAATCTCAACTCAAATATCGCGATGTTTTGTTGTGCATTTTGTTTGAATCCTTGGACTACCGCTCCACCCAGAAATATAAATGGGTAGGCCTACCTGGTACGATTCTGTGGTAATGTATTGGTTTGTGCGCAATTAGCAGCGTGACTACATAACTCACCAGGGAACAGAAACTGGTTGCGCCGATTTAGTGTTGCCAATTAAACATTCCGTGACAACTAGCGGTATATCAATGTACGACTTGCACATGACCCAATGGAATTGGTGCCATAAAAATTATGTTCAGGCTTTATGTAGGCTTAGGCCTAATGACTTCTTATAATGTATAGGGGTGTGTGTAGGCATAATGTGTTACACTGGGTTTTTTAAGCTAACAAACTCGTAAACTTGTTGAATTTATTGGTAGGCCTATACTTAGGCTTATAGGCTATTGTGCGTAATGAATAGATCAATCCCAGGGCCTGCTCTGTAGTTGTCATGACAACGTGCACACATGGGATTGACTAATATATTAAGCAATCCCTGTGCAGAGTAACGGAATCGTTTCTTTTGTCAAGAACCAAGGTCCCAAGTAGGCCTATATAAGTAATTCTAAATATGAGAGAGTGCCAAAGTGAATTTTTGGTTTAACACCGGGGCCGCACCCAAACTTCGATGTTTCTAGTGAGCTTCAAAAAATCTCCAAGCACTGCTTTTGCACCACATTATTCTCAGATGTTACTTTTAACATATGATCGGTGGGGCCGTACACATAGGGTCTTTAATTCATTTCCGCAAACCGAAAAAAAAATCGCTGTCGGGCCGCACTTTGCCCACCTGTGCTGTAGACCCAACAATCAACTTTAGTCGTCTTTACGGAACCATGGAGGAAAGTGACGGAACCTGTGTTGTGGATATCATTAATTAAAAGAAACACCAAAAAAGCATGTAGATTTGTAAAAACATATACATTTTATTTATATATTTAGGTACACATATACATGTGCCATGTACTGCAATTGCGAACATCACTGTTGGACGAGTAGGTAACAATCCTTTTAACAAGGCTAACATACATGATTGTGCTGCGCGCGTGTACGCCTAACCGTGTGTAGGTGTTATTTGATCGTATCTGACAGTGCTTTATAAAAAGGCATTTTAACCCTCCCGTCGAACATGCCTGAGACCCCCTTCGTCCGACGCCACGACTAGGCCGTCGAATAAAAAAAATTATTAGGCCTATACCCAAATAAGGTTATTTTGATTGCTATATCCCTAATATTGTGGTCTTAAAAAGTAGAATTTGGACAATACTAAGCCATAAAAACTCTCTTCGTGAACCCTAAGGATTTTTTTAAAATCTGGGCCGTCGACATCTTGGATCGGATCCCTCCGCCGGACATGTCGCACCCTTTTCGGCAACTTTCTGGAGCCACTACTGACTGACAGTGAGACAGACCCTGAATGCGCGAGTCTCACACTGAATATGTGAAACTTTGGTAGTCTCTGAAATTGAATCCCAGTGTGCAACAAATTGTCTTGTCTTCTCTCCAAGTAAAAGTAAAGAATATTAGGCCTACCGCACCAATACAAATTGCAAGACTTAACAATATTGTTTTTACCAATTCGTTTTAGTGATGTATGAAAATTAAATATAATGTTACTAAGTGTTTATAGACCTACTGAATAAAAATTAAACGATAGACATAATGTAGTGTATTTCTAATAAAATTATGTAGGCCTAGCCTATTTATTTAATATCTGGTGCTGTACTTATTCTTTAGAAAAAAAGTTGTCCCATGTACTGTACAGAGTTGAAATTCAGGATCAGTACAGATTATGTTTAAGCCAAATGGCGAATTCTAAAATTGCCCTTTTTATACGTCATAAGGTATTTCGGTCTAATTGGGAGAAAATAAGTTGAGGTGGTCGTGGTTGGGCAACACAAACATGCATTAAAGTTTTTGCCTCATGACTGATAATAGCTATTGATGTATTAGATGATGTTGACGTCACAAGTAGAGGGCCTACATATACTTTACAGTATTGTGGTTTAGAAAAAAAACAATTTGATTTACAATATTCATTTATTGTTTTCCAGAGGTCGTCTGCAGTTGAACAAAATCGTGACTGCCGTAAATTACGAAGGTGACAGAGTAGTTGTGACGTGCAAAGATGGAACGACTTTTACTGGTGATTACGTGCTAATGACGTTCAGTCTTGGAGTCTTGCAGAACGAAGTTGTAGACTTCCAACCCGAACTCCCAGAATGGAAAATCCAGGAGCTGTATAAATTTATTATGGCCGATTTTACTAAGATCTTCATGAAGTTCGACACACAATTCTGGCCAGACGAAGAGTGGTTCATACATGCGCACGAGAGGCGAGGATATTTCCCTGTGTTCTACAATCTCGAAGCAAAAGGTATACAATTTTGTCAACTGGAATCGTTCCTTGAAAAACCTAAAACAATATTTTATCATATGGTTTTCTGTTTCCTATATTAGAAATATCTTCATTGGATATCTTAAGAGGTGTCTCAGATATTTTTTTATGTACATTCGATTAAAATTGCTATTTTTAAACTATCAAAACTCTTGATTGCAGGATTGTTCCCAAAAGGAACCAACATGCTTGCAGCCTTTGTTACGGGAAATGAAGCTAGGAGAATCGAACAGCAACCGAAGTCAGAAACCAGTGCAGAGATCACAACTGTTCTTCGTACGATATTTGGGGACACAGCATCTGCACCAACTGAAATCATTCACTCTGGTTGGAGTACCAACCCCTTCACCTATGGTGCTTACTCAAACTGGCCGGTTGAAGTGTCAGAAGAATGCTTCAAAAAGATTGAATCTCGAGTCGGTCCAATATTTTTTGGAGGAGAGCACACAGATCCCATTTACAACGGCTACATTCTTGGTGGCCAACTAAGTGGTAAAAGGGAGGCCATGAAGATTCTTGATTGTATGAACATTCGTGATGGTGATGAGTGTCCAATATGGCAAGAAGTGAAGAAGGCAGACTGTGACTGCACATCAGGTGCATCTATAATTCCCAAATATGCTAGCCTACATTTTGTTGCACTGTCCTTGTTTTTGATGCTCATGAAGTAACAAATGGAGCGGTTTTCTAGTTCAATAATCTATGTAGTATTATTCACTGCCAGTGATACAGTACTGTTCTGTTCTAAGAAAAAATTACATTTAGTTTTTTAAGGCACTTTTTCTGAAGAAATCTTATTTGATAGGCCTATATATAAAACTCAGGAAGCATCCATATTACTTTAACTTATCTATAAAAAAATATAAGAACCATTAAAATACTGTAATGTATTATAATCAATTAAGGTTATTATTGGTTTGTTAGAACTTTGTCGATGGATACCAAAAAATAAAAATATAGGTATTCTTTGCACTGATAGACAATTATATAGCATTTTTTTTTCATTATTTGGCTTTGGTGCACATGCTGCATCGATGTCGAACATAATTCCTTAAGATCACAAAGCCATGGATTCACGACCAGCTCAGAACTGCGAAAGCAAGCTGACTGGCATGTGCTCCCACTAACACTAGATAGATACGTCGGCTTGCGAATGGATTAGTTACCAATATATTATTCTAAAATGTATGCATAGAGATAGTGACAGTACAGTACCAATAAACAAAGAAAGAAAACAAAACAACGGCAACCGTTTATTATGCAGTAAAATATGATTATTTATTCAAAAAATCTCCCATACACCAGAAAAACCATTTTCTTTTGTCACCATTTTCCTCGAATCAAACACTGTAAAGGCAACAGCTAGAATTCAAGAAAGCGCTCCCTACCTCAATATAACACAACATGCAGAACGCTTCAACAAAAATACCACTCGCATAAAAAAATATCCGAATCATTTGGGCCGCATTTAACATATCAAAGCTTGCTAAATGACTGAGCATGATCAAACATGAAGAACATTCAATTTTCTAACATTATAATAATACAACATTTGAACAAGTGAAACCATAGCAATAGTGGTACAACTTTGTTTTTGTTTTCAAGTATCCTAAACCTTTACGTATTGCACACCTGTTTTCTTCAGCATTCAAATCTAGTATGTAAATGGTTTACAGTATGTGGAATACCTCATTGCAAAGCACATCATGAAAACAAACCTTGATCAAAAAGTTAATGAAGTTAATTTTCAATAAATTTGAGGAAGAAAAGCAATATGAACTCGTCAACTCAGCAGCTGAAGCAAAAAAATGTGTTACTTGGGTCTACAGTTATGAACCAGTATAAAATTGGACCTTTCCAGAACAGGACCATGAATATATAAGCTTTAATAACAAAGATAATAAATAGCAAAAGATAGAGCAGTTCGCGATATTGTAGTACGCCCCATGGGGGCGTCCATGAGAGCAATTTTCCTCCATCCGAGTGGCGGCGCTATATTTTGGATTGGTTGGATATCTCTGATTTGTTTGTTTTCATTAGTTTCTCCACTCCAAGAAATAATTTTCCTCCATTCTAGGGAGTGTGGACGTTCCATCAAATTTAATGCAAACTACGCGAAGAGCTCTGTCTTCTGCCATTTATGTTCTTTGTTATTAATAAACTTTTATGTCCAAAAAAATGCACGTTTGCGCATTACGTACATTCGTTTACGATGTCATTTTGTGCAACATTTGAAACAATAACCAAGGGGCTGTGCTCAATGGAAAGGTACAATATTTATGCCTGGTAACATTATCATACTGCTCTACCAAACCAATGTCTACCTTTCACTGAAAAACACTCAATAGCCCGTTCCATGTTACATGTAGTCAAAATACAACATAGAAACATGTAGAGATACAGTACTTTAAAGAGAAAAATGGACAAAAATAATTTCTAAAATAGATTAGCTATTACATATTATACAACTATCAAAAAAGCACACAATCCAAAATGGAATTAATAATTATTTTCAACCACAGTCTTCAACATATATTTTGTAAATTGTAGGCACCTAGAATCAAACAATAACACCAAAGCATGCTATCAGCTACAACCTATTTATATCAACGAATTGAAAAAAAGCATTGTAAATCCATACAAGCACTTAAATTCATCATTCACAACAGAGTAAATCTGTGTTACATACAGTACACGAATGAGTATGCAGTTATATGGGTTAATGCTTCTTAATATACCCGATTCATTTATAATATAGCATATAAAATTAATATTGGTCTCGAAGTATTTCTATATTGAAGCATTTCAATCGTCCTATGCGAGTAGAAATTCAAAACGGCTAGTACTAATTGTTCTAATCTGTATTTTACTAAACCAAAATGTGAACATTCATCCAAAATCAGTGTAAAGATCGACTTGTCCAATTTAACAAAATGACAAGAACGAACTTAATTTTTGTAATAATCCCATTAACTTACTAAGCATTTGGCTTCTTACATACATATATTTATATATAGATATTTTAATTGCAAGTCAATAAATTGCATTTCGAATTCACATAAAAGTACTTAACAAAATATCTAATGTATGCAAACTATATTCGATGTCTACTTGCTACATTTTATCGTCGTCATTCATACTCACTATATAATACAAAATCATTAAATACTACGGCACCACATGCATAAAAACCTATTAAATTAATAGTAATACACCAACAATACTGACCACTAGGAAAAGATACAAATGTTGTCAACAAAACCAAATATACTGTACTGTAGTATTTTAATTATAGTAGTGGTAAGCAGATTAAGGAAATGTTATGATGGTTACTGTTTACAACAACTATCATAACATACTAAATACAAAAAAAAAAGAAAGAAAAAGGAACACTCACAGAACTAGTAAATAATTAGAATTAATACTGTAGTAGTTTAGTGGTAAGACATGGAATCCAAACAAATGAACAGCACTGTCATGTGTTGTAACAAAAACCCATTGAAACCACCAAATCTTATTAAGCTTCAATAAAGATTTAATAGACTTGTAAATATCTGAATTGGTGTGTTCACAACCTCTAAGGCCAAATACCAAATTTCATTAGAAACGTAAACAAGAGGTCAAGGTACATAAAACAGTAAACTGAATAAAGAAATTCAGTTGTGATATTTTGTTTTTGCAATTTATTTGAAGTTTCAGATGTAAATGAGATATTTCTTTGGTTTATAGGGCTATCCATGTTTTCTATATGGTTTAGTTATGGTTATTCATTTATAAAACTGTTGTATTTGTCAGGAATTTTGCAAATAACATACAAAAAAGTGCTGCAAGTAAGGGTTGAAAACCATGCTAAATAGAGGAAAATTGGCAGTTTCAAAAAACAATAAATATGATACATAATGTAGGTGTAATATTATAAGCTTATGGATAACTAGAATGCAAAATTGATGAACAAACATCATAATCATGGCAGTGTTTGTCAAGGCTAACCATTCCTTTGAAAATATTCCATTGGATTGAAAATAACTGAGATATTCACAACAGCTTCACCTCCCACTGTACAGTACATCTAAAAGAAGCACAAATTTGACAATGGTAATTTATACAAAATGCTTCTACTGTACTGTATACTGTAACAACAAAATTAAGTTTCTGTAGTAGATATGCCAACGTTGTTTGTGGCCTTATCAGATGAAGCTAAAGAGAATATCAATGGAATGACAACAAATACATTATTGTTTTCTAGAAAATTGTACTATTTAAAACCAAATTTCATTGTTATCAATGTGCTATTATTTGGAATGTTAATGTAAAAGACATTGTTGACAACATTTAACATTCCTTCATTTGAAACAAAAAATAGAGAACTAAACAAGCCTAATAATAAGAGTAAAAGACAACCCAAAATAACAAAACATCAAATATTAAAGAGAACTTAAAAAAATAAACAATGTTGATTCTTAAAAACTGCTTTCTAATAAGGTACTACACAAAATGTTTACTACCTTGCTAAACCAATTACAACAAATTTATATTTAAACAATAAGTATGTAGATACTGGCAACCATCTGTGATTCGTCTATTGACTTAATACATATTAAATTCTACTGGAAACATTGGTGACAACATACAACAGCAACTGAAACATTTCTAATGGTGGAAGTGGTCATGGTAATCAAGAAAAGAGGTACTAATTTATACAAAGAGGTAGAACTTGAAAGCTAAGTCCTAATGCTTTGTATCTAGTATATACTAATATAATAATCTACATGATTCATCAAATTAACAATATATATAATACATAGCATTATCAATTAACAGTTAGCATTTAGTACTACTGAAAACCAATTCTAAATTAGGGGCTAGTTTGAGCCAAATCTCTTGAAAGCCACCCTTTCAATTACTATATATGTAGAACAAATTAGCAAATATATTACAGTTTTAATAAGACAAATCCCACTAGTTTAGCACCATATAATATGGAGATATTCAAACAAGTCGTCCACAACGATAAATTGACCTCAACAATTATTCAAAATTTCAATCTACAATTATTACTACAAATCAATCACAAAGCTAGGATATCCTATCACAAAAACAAAATGAAAATACACAATCATTAAATAACCTTTAAAAATAAATGGAGAAGTTTCTGAAACTAACAAAAAATAATAACTTTGGCTCCATTTTACATAAAATTTCCAAGATATGCTAGATTTTGCTCCAAAATAAAATATTATCAGCTATCAGTGAATACTCTACAAAACTATGGTTATAACACACCTGTAATATCTACATTATTCGATAAAACTATAATCATAATCATTTAATAAAACATGAAAGGAACATACTACATTTATTGTCTAGCTTCAAAACAATACAAATGTCTTTCAGTTTAAATACTTCCATTCATTTTAATACTAATTCAACAAATTTTTGACACAACCAACTCGTCTCTTATGCTCGAGAAACAATTTCTAGCAATCTCTTTAAAATACAATGGGTATCGGATTGTATGCTTTTAGCAAACACCTCCATCGGCTTTCTTGACCGGCAAGACATGCTAGCAAACATCATCTGAGATCCTTTAATACCCTGACCTACAAGATCATCCGATTATTAACTTCATCTATATACATACATTTGCTTTCTTTAAAAAAACCAAAATTCATTACAAAACAAATTTCCATCATCATTATTAACAGCAATCAAAACATTTGCTATAATTTTCTTAAATTTCTAAACAATTGCTCCATCATGTTTTACACTGTTTGAAAAAAAAAAAATCAGCCAATCAATTTGAAAGCATTTATTCTGACATGCCACCAAACTTTCAGAAAACCATGTTCAAAAATTACAAACCAATAGGAATTTGGGAGTATACAAGATAAATTTCAATAGTTCATAACTTACTTTCTAAAAGTACTGCAACTACTCAAAATTACTGCTGTACAATTAAATTGTCACTAAATCAAAGTTTCCATTTTTTAAATGCACACATAGTGTATTAAATCTCTGTTCTGTACAATTCTAGTGCAGGAATTTACTATCTATATATTACAAACAAGCTTTATCTTCCATTTACATATTTAGACTTTCAAACTTACAATTTGTAATTCCTAATATAGGTCAATCCTATTTATTGTTCTATTTTTTTTTCATGGAAAGACAACTTTGAAAGCCTCATTTTTAAACAGTAAAATACAATGTTCTCTGTTCTAGGAAAAATAGTGCTTTATTATAAACATGCTGTCTAATACATTAGTCGTATCCTTTGGCAAACAATCCTTTGTTTATTCCATGACAAATATACTGCATATTACATTCCCCAGATATAAGCATATTGGACCACAACATTTTCTTTAACTGCAAAACAGGTTAAATTTCTTCTGTCTGCTTAAACATTCATAAAAATCCATACTATTGAATATATACTGTAACATACAACCGCACTCATGCATTTAGATAGCTAACATAAAAAGATAACTAACAATTTTCAATATCTGTCCTATACTTATGAACCAGTACTAAACTGAAAACCTTCATAAAACTTAAAATTCCCTATTAATAATAGATATCTAAAACCGCATAATAAACTTCATCAAATTGTTTTTAAAACTTGAGGCAAATATGATCCTTTTTTAAAACTTATTAATTATTTAATGTACAGAGGGTAATAATCACTTAATTATGCTGCGAGAACAATTCACTCAACTAGCAAATGCTATATTTTCCTTGAAACAAAGATGATTTTGTTAAAGGTTACAGAAAAGATGTCAAATAGTGAACCCACAGACATGGAAAATAAAATGCCAAAAAGTTTACATTATTTGATAATGGGAAAATATTGCTGGAAATACCATTTTATCTAAGCTTGATATCTACTAATAAAGAATATAAAGGGAAAAGGCAAAGCTGAAACACACATCACACACACACCAGCATTTTACTTGGTATAATTAGGAGGGGGTAGGGTACAATGGCTATGTTCCCTTGTTTGTGCCATTGGAAAAAAACTAGTAGCTAGTAGGAAGCAAATGTTTCATATTGAATATACCTGTATTTCATGCATCACAGAACAGAAGAGTTTGCATAATTATTATGGTTTTTTTTAAAATATACATTATTAATCGGACCTTTTGAGATAGAGGGTGCTATACACATTTCAAAATATATTTATTATTAGTGCATGTATTTATAGTACATCTGCAGGTATAGATAATATTCATGTATTGAATATTGAATGTTTAGACAGAGGGCACTATATAAATTTTCAAAAATATATATTTTATTATTATTGTGCATGTATACTACATCTACATGCATGGAAATAACATGCATGTATTGAACATATACATGAATGTTGAGACAAAGGGGATTATATGAATTTGAAAAATATATATATTAATTACTTGGCATCATACATTTGCATACATGGATAATAACATACATGTATTGAATATATGCATAAATGTTATTGTTAATTCAGATGCTAATTCTGAATTGGAATAAAAAATGTGTGTGTGTGTGTTGTGGTTAAAGGGAATCACATTATAAACTAAAAGGTTCCATACAATTCAAACACAAAATGTAAACAGAAATATTAATATCAACTGGAAACTCATTAAACAATACGCAATAGTTGGGCCAAAAGGCCAATTATTCAATCAAATTTTGCTCAAAACGATTGCTAATTATTATTCAACATGCGTCACCTCTTTTAATTGTAATAGAATATAATCTTCACCTACACATGTGGAATGCGACTAGCTCACAAGTATGCTTTAAAGTTTTCAATGTGTATAGGCGGTTCCAAGGAACGTTTTCCTAATATCATGCAGCAGTTGTAGGTAATCTCAGGTGAGAGTTACTGGCTCAAAGCAACTTAGCATTTGATGGCATTCCCAACAAGGAAAGATATATATTTACTTATATAAGATAGTGTACAGTTTATAGTAATGTTCAGGCTAGCAGAAAAAATGTATGTAATGCCCACAAAAGTTTGTAAGAACATGGCAACGACAGATTAATCAATCATGTTCAGTTGAGTAAATTTATCTCGCAGTGCCGCCAGTCAATCACCCGGCAGACTCTGGTACACGTACAGTTGCCGCATCCGTGTCGGACTCATTGGATAGGAGTACAGATTCCCAGAGGGTGATCTGATATATACCGGATGATTGTAGGGCGGCGCATACTGGGATGAATGCGCAATCGTTGGCGACTGCCTGTATGCCACATGTTGTACTGTCGGCGAGTGCAACATTGCCTGCGAGGGCAGCTGACCTGGAATGTTTGATTTGTAATGAACATAACGCGATGTCTGTGATGGTAACGACGGTAAACTCGCGGGTCCTACAGGTGAACTCAAACCTGGATATGTGACAAATTGTGGGGCCATGTGGGCAGGTATGTGAATATGTGGTTGGCTAACCATAGGTTTATGTGATGGGCTCACATGTTGGGGAAATGGAAACGGAAGATTCTGCACGGTTGGTGATGAGTACGTATTGACGTGGCGGAAACGTTCATTTCGATCATACGATCCTGTAGCGGATTGATGCGAAGGGTACGTACATCTGTAGCCTGGGATATTTCCAGGTTCACGATAACCCTGCAAACTCCCTTGTTCTCTAAACATTGGTAAAGTGCTAGATTCTTTATAACCCTGCGAAGTTCCCATATCCCTATGTCCATGTATATTACTGTTGGCATCTCTGTTTCCTTGAGAACTTTCTCGTGAACCTTGGGCTACGCTTGACTCCTGATAACCTATTGAGCTACCAGGTTCTCTGTAACTTACCCTTGACCTTGATGAGCTTGCTTTATGGGAAGAAGCTTGACTGCTAGTTGACTGTTGGCTTATGCTTGTTGGTAACTTTGGCAAGGATGCTGATGTCTCTTTTTGTCTTGAACTTGCATTTAACGTGTTCTCACACTTGAGTGGTGGCAGATTCACAAATGCTATCGAATTGTCAGCTTTCTGCCGCGTACTTGCTTCCTGCTTCAACGCCAAAGCACCATCTTTGCGTGCATCAACAGACTTCTTATACGGTAATCGCCCAGATTTCTCTTTCTTCCGATGTTCTGTTGTAGGTTCCTTTGGTTTAGCACCTTCCATGGTTTTCTGCTGGAATCCTACCTTTTGACTTTGCTTGCCAGAACTCCTTGGAGTGACAATGATAGCATTAGAACTATCAACCTGCTGGGCAGGGCTCCTTGACTCAGGGTCATGGTCATCGTTCTCGTGTGACTCTATACAAATTTCCGGTGCCTTCACTACAGTCTCTTCATCCCTATTACTGTTGAGATTTGCTGGACTCTCTGACACTTCAGGAGTGTCAGGAATCGTCACACAACTAACAACGTTCTGGCGCTGAGACTTACTGACATCATCTGCCTTGAATGGCGATACCTCTAAGGATGAGTATGATGATGACATGTAGTGATTTGGTGCATCTGGACTGGCACTAAGAATACTATTAGTACTACTAAGTGAGCATGAATGTGTGATAGTGGTTTCATTGCAAGCTTTGCAACTGCCATCTAAACACCTGAAAGAAACCAAAATTGAAACTCTAAATTGATGTTGAAATATAATAAAACAAGATTTATTAAGAACATTAAATAAAAAGAAGTAGAGTTCACTTTGTAGGAGATGGTTCTAGTTCAGTTATTTATCAATGCCTGTTCAGCATCTGGATCAGACCACAGTGACAGGGTCTGTGAGATGAATAAGTACAGCGGGGTAACCCCCTACTTGTCTCAAAGGATGTACTGGGTTCTTTATAGTACACATGAGCCAATTGTGTATACTGGGCCTATGGTTTATAGTCTTTATCAGAGAAAACTTCTTCCACCTCCAGAACCATAGACGAGCGTGCCGTTCGAACCAGCCCTGATATTATGGCTGTAGGTTGCAGCGCCCTTGCCTTAACCGCTCGGCCATTCAACTTGCCATGTGATCTTCTACTTTAAGTTTACTATCATTGCCTAGTCATACATACATATCTATATACACTTATGGCAGTCAGCCCCTTGACAGATTGTAGATAATGAACAGTGGAATTCGAGCCCACTACCTCAAGTTTAAGAACCAGAACCAAAACCGCTACACCAGCTGCTCCCACAGTTACACAACGCTGTACCAACTACTCAACACCGAGGCTTACTTACCCTTTATCAGTTGCTTTTTCTGGTTCTTCTTCACTGTCACTGCTAATAGTAATGACACTTGGTGTTGGGCTGGGTGAATCGGCTATCACGATTGGGTCACGCTTGCCTGTGTATTGACTTTTCTTTGTGTCAGTAGGCCTCTTGCTGGTACTCGGAGCATTAGATCGGTCTGTGGCGTACGTTACTTGAGTGAGGGACAAATCCTGCGTTGGAGATAAGTTCGCTTTGACGCGCTTCTTCTGGGGAGAGAGGCTACTGCTAAAAGATGGATTTGTTTTCTTTGTCATAGCACCACGCCTAGATTAAAAGAATAGTAAGGAAGACAATATTAGAAAAGGTTTGTATTCATAATGTTAGTACATTTTGCAGTGTTTAATTTGTCATATTCATTAATCTACTTTCAAATCATACACAAAACACATAACATATACATTATAGTAATATAAAGAAATAATAATTATTATATATTCAATTCATTGTTGTATTTGGTTTTGCTATTCTACTGCCCGTTGTTATAGAAGACTTAAAAAAAAAAGGGGAAAAATTAAAGAGCCTATTTCATAGATTCTTCTAATGAAACAAATATTTAAACAATTCTGTTTTCAGAATTAAAAAATATTTAAAATAGACATCCTTAAATTGATTGCCGTATTTAACAAAGTATAAGCCCATGATTGAATATAAGACCACCCCCTTGTTTAGGCTTGATTTCAGATGCTAGCCTTCAATCTGAAAAAGCCCAGGGTATAATTCCAACTATTGCATGCAGCTGGACTTACTAAAAATTGCGCAGAAATTCGCTCAAAAATTAAGTTCTTGAGGAGTTTCATACGCAGGCCTTAGTGTAGCCAAGTCCTAGCTTTTCATTAGTCTGGTAAGGCATTAATTCTATCCTAAATGAAATCTGACTATGAGTCTGCACCTCAGCATTAATAATAATAATAATAATAATAATAATAATAATAATAATAATTTATACTATGCATAATGTAAAGACCTCTATGCGCTTTTACAACAGGAATTGAAATAAATTTAGGTGATGAATTATTATGAATTACCTATATAGAAATAAATATACTACTATATAAATAGATTTATTTGAAGTTAAAATTCACTTGAAAAATACAGTAATTCTAAGTTCCTTTCATCTAATTTCATATTTCCTTTCTTGTCCATATTACCTTTCTTACCTTTTTCCATATCTTTTCTTTCTTCCCTTTTTCTTTCATTTCTTTCCTATTTCCTTTCTTTCTCTTCCTTTGATTCTCTATTTTTTCTTCTATTTTTCTATTTCTTTCTTTTCCTTTCTAGATCCTTCTTTCCTTTTCTTTCATTTGTCTATAATTTATTTCAATTCTTTCTTTTCTATTCCTTTTTCTTTCTTTATCCTGCCTTTATTTTTCTATCCTATTCCTTTCTTTTCTTTTTCCTTTCTTTTCCTTTCTAATTAATTTTCCTTTCTTTTTCCTTCTTTTGTCATTCATTTTCTTTTCCCCTTCTTTTATCTTCTATTCCTTTCCTTTTCTATCCTTTGCTTTTGTAACAATATGTTTAGGCTTATTTTTCATGGAAGGATGTTTTGTATATCTTGTGTAACTTTTCCCTCTACAAATAATTCTTACAACAGTGCCTACGCTATGTCTAACTACTGTAGCTAGATGTTACTGATCTATATGTAGTGGCGACCCCCTGGAGGTCACACTGCATTGACCCCGTATTCCCCAGGTTAGGTCTTCTGTGCTTCAAATGCGCATCCACTGGCATGTGCACTGAACGGCCGACCCAGGGAAGCCCTCGGAGAAAGGACAACAATTCAAGTCCAGAGCTCACACAATTGTATTATAGCCCAAGCAGGAATCAATGACCTATAACGGTGAGTACCAACACATTGGCTATTTTATAATATATGCTTCCATGTTGCGGGCTATACTCACTACACGTGTAAGAATAGACACCCGGCAACTGTCTGTGTTTAAGGAGCTGCATGTATTGAGATACTGTTGTAACAACCAGCTAGCAAAATGATCGTATGGGCATATCACTTTATTTTTGCATGTTTTTCAAACAAATCAAAATCAACATACTTTCGCCACGTTTTGTCTGTGTATAAGCCCACTCCGTAATTTTCAGTGAATTCCGTAGCTACTGTAGGTCTCTTGGACTTACACACAGTGAAATACGGCATTAGCTGGTTAAATTTTGTAAAAGGGTAAAGGACCAATGATACTTAAGCAAAAAGATATATCTTGTTCTAATTTATAATTGAAAGCTCATAACCTACTTAAATATTAAAAGCCAGGAGGTTATCTTAACAGGTTTTCTTAAAATAAAATTTGGATGACTTACCCTTGACCAGGAAGTTTACGGGCAGTTCTTGTTGTCTGGTTGCCTCTGTACAATGGTGTCTGTAAACTAGGTACGTGGCTTTGCGGTAGGCCTAGGGTTTGATGTGGGGTACTCTGGAGCATCGGTACAGGGCGACCGGAAGTAATACCACCTCTCTACAAACATAGAAAAAAATCATGTTTGTTTTAGTTGTTTTTAAATATCATAGTGATATAGCAGAGCTGATCATTTTGGAGTGCCACATGATTCGAACCCAGGACCTTGGTTTAGATGGTAAACATCTTAACCAAAGAAACCATACATCCACTGGATCTATGGTGATCAAGCTTTAGAAAATATTGCTGGATTCCAACATGACAAAATTTATATTTTTTTTTACCCTGTCTACTTATCCCAATTAACTTTGATTTACATAATCAAAATTAGGTAATTAAAACTTAATCTATACAAGCAACAACATATCTGTTCTATTAAAAATTTAGTTTGACTTTAACCTAATTTAATTTATTACGACTCGTGACTCAATAGCAGCCATGGCTCCTAGTAGTCTCATAAATATTCTTATCTTTAGTATTCTTGTACCAATATAGAAAATAATCCATTAATATCTTTTGAATTTCTTTTACTTCCAGAATTTAGTAATTGTCTAAAATCTATCTAGTTAAATTGTTTTTGTTTATGGTAAGTTTATAGCCTTGGTTGATACTGTCAATGTATAATATTAAAGGTTTGTTACTAAAATTATTATTTCCATATGTTATATTTTGATTAAAAAACAAAATAAAATCAAAATTAATCGATATAAATGGTAGTCATGAAATGCACATTCAGAAACGGGGATATTATGAGTGAATTTCTGGTTTTGATAATGAAAGATCAGCCAGTAATTTTTTCAAGTTCACTGTGGGTCATGCATACATTATCAAGTAACCCGTATGCAGTAAAGGAAGTTGTCAATTTCCTTTCTGCACTCTGCATCAGTCTGACATGGAATTTCACTGTTTTTTTTATTATAAATTTCTTCTCATGCATGAGTTAATATGGGCTCTAAGTGGCTTTACAGGGAGAAAACAAATTATATCTAGCAAACCAGAGCTCTTTGAAATGACTAACAACCACTCATACACAGTAGCACCGCAAAAACATCTACAAGGGACATTGGTTCCAACCCAAGTAGGAGGGTATAATACTTAAAACACAACAAACCTCTAGGCAATGATCATAAAAAGAACTCTCTCCAACTTCCATCGGGAACAGTGCAGGACTCGGCTCGGTTAAAAATCCGGAATCCTCAGACGAACGCCACGACATTGGGGCTGCAGACACGTACTGCCGTCTGCAATGGAGGGGGTAAAAACAGAAGGCATGTTAGGAGACTGTGCAATGTGCAAAATCAAATCAAAAGCATATTGAATGAAATATCCGGTTCGCTTACCTCCATGTGTCTCTGATTGGCTGCGTTTCAGGAATGACAGGCTGTTGTGCCACAGCTGCTGCACCTTGTTGCCATGGTGACAAGAAAACCTGGTTACTCGGCGGCCATGATTGCACAGGTGCAGTAGGCTGGAAAGGAAAAAAAAGGATTTCTTTAAACCTTTCTTTAAATGACACTAAATATCAACACATCCAGTTGCATATTTATGAAGAGGAAAAAATCATACAGATGTCTCTAGCTTGAACGGGAATTATGATTTATGATTCTTATATTAATGTCGAAAAACGGAGGAAATCGGTTTGACTGGTTTATCTGTCACCAAGTGATTTTCACTTTGTCAAAAAGCCTAAACGTAATGATGTTGTCTTCTGTGCTTTATCATCAAAATGACACATGCATCACCTAAGCTTCAAAAGTTGCCTAATAGCAACGTCTTACTATAAACATGTTCCAAAATTACCAAAATGCAGAGAGAGTGGTGATGGAGTAGTTGTAATTTCTACACACAGCAGATGACAAATTGCCAGAATGTGCATGTTATTTAAGAAAAAAATTCCAAATTTAGCATATTTCATTTTATTAAAAAATAAAACAGATAAATTTATAATTAGTGGAAAAATAAATATTATACAGCTTCACATTAAACACTGTCATATCCTGTAGCAGACATTTATAATTAATAATTATAATTAATAGCCTGTTGCCTCAATTGAACTGATTTTTTTAAATTTCTATATTTATGTTTCACTATTCATTCATGTTTGTAATGTTTTACTTGTTTGAAATGAAATTAGGAGACTAATAAAAACAAAAAAATGAGGTGGAAAAGACACATTTTGATTTTGATCTTACCTCTTGGATAATGTATGATTTAAATTAACAAACACCAAATCCCTCTTTTTAAGCACAGAGCAGTTAAAAAATGGTCTATATGTTTACAGTATAATGCTTTTTGATGAAATATGTACAAACTCAGAAAGTTTATGGGATTTTACAAGTCAATCACTATAAATATTATCACTGTGTGGATACACTGCCATCTACTAGTTAGTTTCATGCTATCGTAGCTTTGGTGACTAATTCAGTCTATTGAACAGCATATAAGAACATTAAGAAATTCTTTAAATGTAGATAGATATAATTAAATTAATAGGTACAGCACAGTCGCATTACTTCATTGGATGTGAAATGTCCAAGGTCATTCTTTGACATATATTTTTCCTAACGTCTTGGAGGCGGCGGTTTCCCATATGCATGGATTTGCTGGCCATGTGTAGGAGTCTGGAAGCATGTTCCAGGCAGTGCTCGGCATTGTACATTAAATGATCCCTCTTGGGATGATGTCAATGTTAAAACAAAACAAAGTCCCTTAACATCAGTAACTTTGTTCATTTAATGACCTATAAATGGTGTATATTGCTTGGTTGGGTCAACTGCATACTGTTATTGTCTAGACTCACCGCACGCCATATCTAATTCAATTTCCAATCCTTACATTTAAGTTACATTTTGTTTACATGAACAGAAGCTGAATCAATTATTTAAGCATGTTACCATTTGCAAACATGTTTTCAGAGTGAATATTTTTTTTTTTTTTAAAGGCATTTTTCAATTGTCATTTTTGTTATCATTTACTAATTATTTCATTAATATTAGTAACCATTACCCCTTAAGATATACGGTAATCATTATCCTGTAAGTCCTTATATGTATGGTAATATTTTTCTTATCATAATTAACAATTCAGAAGCGATTAAAGCAAAATAATTGCCTCCTACCCAGTTAACTTATATTTGATTATATTAATTACAAAGTATTATTTAATAATAATGACATCTTATAAGGCCCACGTATCCATCTCAGAGAGCTGCTTGTGGCACCATTTCCACCTGCAAAGAGCAGTAGCCTTTTCTGCATTTCTTTTATTATTTAAAAAAATTGTTGCTTATATCTTTTTCTTAATTTTTAATAATAGTTATAATATATACATTAACAAACGAAACAGTGAGGATATGAGAGGAATTGGATCATCTGGAAAATATTTACATTATACGTATATGTTTGCTATCGTCGACTTACCCGAATAAAAACATGTTGTCCTTGGGGCATTGGTCCTGGAGCCCATGTCTGCTGACCCCCTGAGCTGCCCATTGACATGGATAATGCAAGCTGCTGACTACCAGGGTGGTTAGGTGGGGCTTGTGTCACGTGTGTCATAACAGGTGTCGGCTGTTGGGCGTTGAACACTGAACCCTACAACAGAAACATACATTCATGGTTATTGCAAAGCAGCTGTTTGAATAATGCTGTGACATTTGAGGGGTAGAATGACAAGGTAATTCATTATTTTTAGATTTACTTTTTAAAAAAGATGATTATTTTTAATCAGAGCAGGGACAAATGCAGAAGGGGAAAAGGGAGCATATACCTATGATTGGACTGCAACAATTGCAATTTTTCTTTACTATTTTACTAAAACAGATTTAAACATCGATTTCCCCTCCCCCATTCTGACAATCTGTTTCCTTTTCTGACACCATAGGTTCTCATCTGTACTATATTTTGTATGGATAAATAAAAATATTTAATTATTTGAGAGCTCTTGTACTGGAAGTAGGCCAGTTGGACAAAGGGTGAAAAAAAAAGATGACATACTATAGTTGGCATTGTGTAGCCATTTATTATCTAAACACCAGATAATAAATGCTAGTCTTGTTGCGCATATTTCTAAGGCCTCTAGGCACTTGGCATTATAGCCTAGTCATTGGAACAAGCTAAAGAGTAGTGCTTGAGGTACAGTAAGAAATATGTAACAAGTCATATTGTAAAGTAAATCGTTAATGGTAACGTTTATGACTTTGTTAATCATTAATAGTACATCAAATTATAAAATATCACATAGCTTGATAAACAAATGGTAAGACGCCATTCATTAAACATAAAATAAATGTTTATTTTTTTAAAATTATGAGACATGATTAAAAGGTGAGTGCCTTCCATACATGGGTCCTAGGGAGCAGCGCTAGCTTTGGTTTATAAGATGTTTTCCTTCCATACACTGGGTCCTTATTTGTGATAAGGTGAGTAATTTCCATACCAAGGGTCTTGGAGGTTACTAATTCTATTTATTCTTGTAAAAACAAACACCATAGTTTTCCTTAAACCTAATGTTATTTAAATTAATTGAACACTACTGCATGGTAGGTAACCATATAATTGATGATTCAACTGCAACTTAGATATGAACGAAATTCAAAGATGAACACAAATCTAAGAAAAATACTTTTTATATCTATAACTATAATCTATCACCAAGTTTACTGGATTAATGATATCAAAGAAGTTATTCAACTAGTTGACGTCTAGGCCCCTTGGGGGTACAGCAGCCACCAGCAGTAGCTTCCTCTAAAAGGTCCCTTGAGCCAGCATTCTTGTTCAGTACCATCCTGATACATATCGCCTGCATTTGTAGGCTAGCTTCTCCAATGATGTAACCACTCTTAAATTACAGCTAGCGATTTCTGATCAGATTAGATTAACATATTGCTTAGTGTACTCTTAGCTTAAGTGGTGTATTTAACATCAATGCTAAAATTAGAAACGCTTCATTTAATATAATACGTAACAGACACGACTTTATCACTGGTTACCCCTCGGGTCACTTTCACCCTTTAGGCTCTATTTACCCTCGACTTCTGAGCCTCGATAGAAGTAGGGAAGAGTATTCAATAACTACCACTGTTATTTATTTTAACAAGTCAGACTTAAATTAGTGCTGAAAAATAAAATAAATATAATAAAATAAGGAAGTTAATGAATAATCAGACTTGACAATAGCATTGAACTTTCATCTCCATATTCCTCGGACCATTTTAAAGAATGGCTAACAAGATTGTTTACAACTGCTAATGAATGACTAATGCATGATGGGAAGGATATCAATTTTGTTTAAGTGATGATACAAACATTACATTAAACATATTGTTGGACAATAGTCAAAATATATAAAGGTAACAAAAATAATATTGGAAATTGTGAATTTGGTAAAAAATCAGGTATTTTACCTGCAAAAATAATTTTCTTTTGAAACACCATTAAATCAAAATATACATTATCATATAATATTTTGTTAAGTAAAAGATTTAGAATGTTCCCTTATACCCTGAAAAGGCTCTGTAATATTTAAAGAGAAATAAAGTGTATTGTCTATATTACTTTAGAGTTAGTTTTTAATGAGTGAATTGTGCTGCTGGGTATTAACGAAATAATAGCGTAAATCGCCTTAGATCTAAAAAAATATACAACTTTATGTTTAGTTGAAAATATTAATATTACAATTTTAAATAAGAAATTATCTTGTAAGAGCCTACCCTAGGCTAGATACCTAGCTACTTTAGACGGCCTATGCCTCGTAGTAGTCTGGGACCCGGTGTTCCCTACATGCTAGCTAGGCCTAACGTAATATATACAGTATACGATGTATCGAGGCCCCTAATTCCTATCGTTATTAATATTCTGTCTTAAATACACGAAATATACTTATCTTGGATTGTGATAAAATATAGGTTGAAGACTGACGACATTATGCAGCTGCTACTGTCGAAAAAAACCCTGTTGTTCTCAGCAACAACTGCATTGAAAACTAAACTCCGCATTGCATCTCTAAACTTCGCTGTATCCCCAACTTCGCAAATGCCACCCCAGTAATGGCGCCGACAATAGAGGGCGACACTCAAAAATGTTCTTTTGGATAGGTCTATAGTCAAAATATATAAAGGTAACAAAAATAATATTGGAAATTGTGAATTTGGTAAAAAAAAAATAATTTTCTTTTGAAACACCATTAAATCAAAATATACATAATCATATAATATTTTGTTAAGTAAAAGATTTAGAATGTTCCCTTATACCCTGAAAAGGCTCTGTTGTATTTCAAGAGAAATATATCATTCATTAATACAAATTATTTACATAATCATCCATAACGCTAATTAATGCTAAGTAATACAGTGTAATAAGTGTCTATAGACGTTAAAGCACATATCAAAAAACTCATAATGTAAACATAATTTCAATGTGATTGTACAGCAATTACTTATTAAGTCTGCGAACAGAAAATGTTCAATCTCTATTTATGGGCACACAATCATCAAACCTATTTGCATAATTATCGATAATACAAGGAACATGAATGTGAAGTTAAGATGAGATGTTGCCAGCAGCCATTTTTGTAAAATCATGAGCGTTTTCTATGAGAAATGCAAGACATACTGCAGGGACACAGGGGAATTATTTGACATGCAACACGAGTAAGAATGTAATCATTCCCATGTACACTACTTCAAAGAATAAATATAACATGAAAATAAAAAGGTTTATGACAATTTTGATGTTATCTTGTTAGTATTGTTGATGTTACGTGATGAATTAGATGAGATAGATTAGATTAAATAAGATTATGCCTTCGGTTTTGTAAGACATTCAACATCATCTTGTTAGCTGCGAATGATTAATGAAAATCATAAGATGACTATATTAATTTAGATTACCTGCCTGATATAAACATTATCTTTTTAGTGTTCTCATTGTTTAATAACAGATTACATAAGATGGATTAGACTAGTGCAGACTAGACTATGGTGGTTTAGATGAGATGGATTAGATTAAACATAGGCCTTCGGTTTTGCTAGATGTTCAACATCATCTTGTTAAGAAGCTGTGAATGATAGATGAGGATCATAAGATGGACTATTTTAATTCAGATTAAATCCTTTTGCTTGAATATCAACATTATCTTTTTAGTGTTCCCATTGTTTAATGATGGATTACATAAGATGGATTAGATTCGTGGAGAGTAAGCCTTCAATTTTGCTACTTTCAACTTTAGTTTAGGATCATAGATGCAGTTAGTATATTTCTTACCCAACCACTTAGCTTTATAAGGTGTAGTATATTTTCTTCTAAGTTTCTTTTTTTCCCTTTATGTTATTTTTAATTGATCTTTTAATTACTGTAGATGTTGGAAATAAAGAAAATAAAATAAACATGTACAAAGCATGATGAATTACTGAGGAGTCCATTACTAGACTTTTGTTCCTCATTAACATTAATTATGTCTGCGTTACTACATATATAGTGCAAAGGTCGCTTATACACTACACATTATTATTATGGTCATTGAATCAAACACCTATGTAATGAAACACATACTGAGCTCCCTGGGGGAGTACTCCACTGTTGCAGCTAGTAAACTAGTGCATGCATACCGCCTTACATCATGATCTATTAATGTAGTGGTGAATTTAGAGGAGGGGATGGGGGGGAGACAGCCAGCAGCCACCCCCCTGCCATTTATGAAAGTCCTTCCCTGGGCTCCCTCTATTTTGAATTCCTGGATCTGCCACTGTAATGGGATCCTTGCTAACTTCACACACAAAAAGCATATGAAAACTAAATAAAATAATAAATTTAAAAAAAAACAATGTTAATATAAAAATACACAACAGTCACCTCCTATTTATCTATTTCCTATCAAATTATCCCCAGAAAGAAGCAGAGACCTGAACACATCAAAATGACAGCCTGCTATTAATCATCATAGAAGAGTTTTTAATAAGGAAAAATCTAAGCAGATGAGCAATTTATCTAATGAGTAGCTATAATACCAATGATGATGATGATTGGTCAATCCGGCCAAACCTAAGAACATCCTTTCTTAGCTCGTCCTTTTCTATTATTAGCATCAGGTTGCCTAGAGGTAATAACAGGATGTACACACATATGTTTGTTTGACCTGAAGTACTTTAAACTGAGAAGATTATTCTTTAATATCATACAGATATAATAATACTGATTTTAATGGATTTGATAATTACTAATAATCAACTTTTACAAACTGTAAGCTGACTTAAATCACTTTCAAAAGGGTAATAGCCATATATAGCAGTGGCAGAAAAGAAAAAACATATTAGGAACCTTATGGTTAAACACAACACAAACACAACACAAAACCACAATACGAAGGCGACAAAAAATATTCTGACAAACAAAAATTGCACGCATGATGATTGCTTTTTGCAATCTATGTAAATGTGATATATTCTGCAAAATGCTGTTGCATGAAGCTGTCACGCTGTGAAAATCAACATTTATGCTTCAAAACTTAACGTTTAAAGATTGACTGTTTGCCACAAAATCCCTAAAATACCACCTCAAATTTTGAATATTAAATTGCTAACCGGCATTCAAAAGGATCAAATATGTTAACTTCCAACGAGGCAGACCTTCTTTTATACAAATTTTTACTATGAAGATTCTTAATGTGATTATAGGTACCAACCAATTCAAGAGCAATGCAAAGTATATAGAAACTGTATTATTTATGTGTTTGTTAATTGAAGGAAAATATTTTCAAATGAAATCTAATAAATTAAATATACAGTATTTAGCAAATTAATACAAAATCAAATATTCAAATTAAAATATTGAATATTGTTTATAGGGAGTTTTCGATTGAGCGATTATAAGAGCTACTGTAGCCCTACCATAAAAATAACTGAATTCTAGAATCGATTTGGTTTGAATCTGCATTGTTCAGAGAACTCGTCATAGAGGAATGAATCTATCTTAGGTACATACAGTTGTCCCTAGTAGCTTAATACAGTCAGCAATCTTTTAAGTAAATTTTTAACAACCAAGTGAAAAGTGGAGTAATTGTTCATCAGAGCCTAACCTTGATATGCAACACAATGTCACCACTTATTAAGACATTTATCTTTTCTTAGAATTCAATTTACAGTTGAATCTGAGTTGAGTCTGAAGTGCACCATCTTCTATTATACTGACATCACAACACATTAGCAAGTGTTTGTCACAGAAAATGCTAATGAATTAAATATTTGCAATCAAATAAGAATTTGACAAAAAAAAAAAACCTGCTGCTTGTATTCCAAAAAAGTGTTTACCTTCAAAAGATATCGATCATAATAATCTACAGCTTTTGTAGCAGTTACAATTGAAAAAATAAATGCTAAAAAAAATGAACTGCTTGGTCCTAATTTAGTATTATGTTAGCACAACCGCAAGGTACAGTAAAAAAAAAGCAACATTAATCCTTACTAATTAACAAAACAAAAAAAAAACTATCTAGCTACCTAAAAGTTAAGGAACCTATTTGTTATTACTTGTATATATTATTAGTCTTATATTCTTTAAAAAAATCTATACAAATAATTTATTATTTATTTATTCCTAAATTTATCAGAAACCTTGCTCACCAGTAACAGAATGTTAGAAAAATAATTAAAACAAGATATACAATCTTGTTGAAGTAAACAAATAAACATTATATTGATTTCAGGAGAAAATCTGTTTAAACAGAACTATCATATGAATCCATTTGATCTAAAGACCTACGTCATAAAAATTTGTGGATTAGATCAAGTTTCATAAGAAAAAAAATCATGGCACACGAAATATTAACGTTAGTGAAGTAAAAACGTGCTTGTTAGCGATTCCCTTTTTTTTTTCCAGAGGTCAATTAATTAAGTACAGAAATTGCACTCTTCCTTTATTATCTATAATCACTTATTCAAAAGAACAGAATAAATATGCTTCGTGAGAGCAGTAGGCAGTTTGATTATTGCCTTGTTAAAAATGGCACAAACATGCTGGTCCTATAATGTATAATGAATTCTTATTTGATCTTTCCTTTGTTGAAAATGTGCAGCATTCTGAATCCATGCTGAGGCTATCATGATATATCTTTAGTCCAGCAGATATGTGTGTGTGTGTGTGTGTGTTTCATCTGGTTTTGTAATTAATAATCCAATTACTTGTTTTTATTTGTACATCAATAAAAAAAATGGTTTATTATAAATAAAAACAAGTAATTGGATTATATTCATTAAATTCAAAATTATCTTTCATTTATGGTTTGCTCATATTGGCCTGGGAATTCAGCCTTTAAATTTAGGCACAAACACTCAGGTCATTTATTATATGGATTGCTTCTGGGTGAAGATATAAGATACCTGGTGTGTGGAGTGTGAATCTTCCAATTCTTAGATTTAGGGTTTAATCAAACCAAGTCGACCTTCCACTGCCTCATCACTCAAATAAACATCTTATATTTGGCAAGGATAGTAGTTTCCTTGTAATTAGTCTTGCAAATATTCTTTAATAATCTATATGGTACCCTTTGAAATTCATATGTCCTTTGTTAGGAATATCGTCCAACCAGAAATTGAAAATTACTGAACATCATATAAAAAACATGTTGACTAGCCAAAGAAGCTCATTAAAAAAAAATAAAATTAAATATCTCAGTAGATTGAAAACTTACCTGGCCAAACACCTGTGACTGAATAGTAATTGACTGATGTTGTTGCGGTACCATCGCTACAGGGTTGTCCACTCTGATTGGATAACCTTGTTTGGTGGGTGAGGCGATACCTTGAAGCCCTGGGGGGCATACGAACGAGGACATCTGCAGAGACTAGAAGGAACGATACACATGAACATGAATGATCGTAGAAGCCACATTAAGCTATTTAGCAAACTAAGTATAATGATGAAACATTAGGCTGTATTGAAATAAAGTTAAGTAACCTAAACTATGACAACTAATAATTATCAGATTTGAATTAGCAAATAAAAAAGAAAAATTACAGCTTAAACATACAGAAGCTGAATGTGTTGACTAGGATGTGATATATATATATATATATAAGTGAGGTTGTCAAAGGCCTTTCTAAAATAACACAAGCTGACAATGTAGTAAACATTGAAAATATATTCATTCTTTCTTCCCAAGTAAACATCATCTACACATGATTATTGATTGGCAGAGTTAGAAGCATGGCCTCATTTACAGCCATTTTTCAATCATTACTAAGAGACCCCTTAGCCTTCTGTTTATTTTCTCAGTCTATTGTGGCCTGTTAACCTATTTCTACCATGTCTCATGTGAACCACTAACTGATTTTAACCAGTCTACTCTGGACCACTAACTGGTTTTACCTAGTCTACCATGAACCACTAACCTATTTTAACCAGTCTACCATGGACCACTAACCTGTTTCAACCAGTCTACCATGGACCACTAACCTATTTTAACCAGTCTACCATGGACCACTAACCTATTTTAACCAGTCTACCATGGACCACTAACCTGTTTTAACCAGTCTACCATGGACCACTAACCTATTTTAACCAGTCTACCATGGACCACTAACCTGTTGGAAAGGATCTGGGTGGGGATACTGGCCGCTGCGTTGTTGTGACCCTTGTGAGCTACCAGCAACTCGCTGGGCTATCTGTGGCGGTTGATATGGGATGTAGGGACCGGACTGGAGATGATACTGGAGGAATGGGAACTCGGGGGCTGGTTGGTGCGAGGTACTTGCTAAAGACTGCCTCGACCTCTGTAGTGGTAGAAATAAAGTATATTATAAGCATCGTTATCCTTTAACACTTGTCAACACCAAATTAATGTTGGCATTTAAACTGAACATTGGTATTAACTTATGAATAATTCATGATTAGCCAGAAATATTTTATTCAGGAGGCAGTTGATTAAATGTCAGGTCATGACCTGTCATTCAGGTTGATCTTTTATATCTGTTGTTAATGCTATATTTAAGCCATTTAATCATTAACCTGCCCTCTCGTATTTTACCTGATTCTGGAACGCATTAATCTGGTTGTTGAGAGCCACATTTAAATTGGCATTGGATGCTGTTGCACTGAATCCTGGGAATGAAGACTGAATGGTGTCTGTGGTGTTGTAGAGTGGAATGCGTCTTTTGCATACATCCATCGTCTGAGCAGATTTCTTAATACTGTAATGAAAGAATATTTCTTGTTAATACAATAGTTTTAATCAATAGCACTTAAAATAAAAATAAAATATAAAATAAAAAATAAATAAAATAAAAAAAATAAAATATTACCATAAATAAATATACAATGAACCCTGTCGCCACTGATGTATCTTCTTGTTGAGTTAGCTTTAAGTTGTTTAGATAATGAATTTTAAAGTTTGTTGAGTAAGATCTGTTATATTGCAATTGTCATGCTAAATAAATGTTGTGTTAGCTTGCTCAAGGCTTTTTATCCTTTGTGTGCTGAATAAATTTCAATTTTTTCTATTGTCGACTCATATTTTGCCAATTTTTACTGGTTACAGTTTTTTCTAAGAATCCAGATCACATTCTGATTCAGAATTTGGCACTTGACCGATTTAATTCTAACTATAAATATTCACTTCGTCCAAGGTATCTATTTTTTTACTTCTTCGTGGAGAATACCATGCATAGATAAAATTTCTTGTCCAAATGTACAAGATATGTGATACTGAAAGTCACGATAATTTTGTTGAAATATCAATGTTTTATAGCTGTGTGTGACACACACTTCCACGTACAGGTGTCTTCTAAAACTTTAATGCACACATGTGCATTGTCTGGTCCTCAGGCCCTCCCCAAATTCCACCTAATTTCATGATCAAGTACCGTACATGCACATGTAATTTCTATTTTTATATGGTGATGATTCAATGAGGCTATGGGATTATCATTGTAAAGCACGCTATACAGTAGTCAGAATATAGTCAAGTATTGCATAAACATAACCATTTTAAAATAAGTAAAAGAGCATTTCAAATAGAAAGTAATAGAAAATAAACACCTCTGGTATCCAAATATAATCACAGTGACTCACATGAAATTTCAAAATATAGGAAACAGCATGTGAAATAGAACAGGTGAAGTTATATTTGGGCCACACTGCATAATTTGCGATCTATAACTTACTGTTTACAGTGTGCATATTCTCCAAGGTGAGAGAGGGTCACGAATGAATGATTTAGCGCCTCGAGAGGCGTGATTCTCTTCTCAGCATCAATTGTTAACATCCTTTTTAGAAGATCCACAAACTCTCGTCTACAAAAAAATAATTAAAACATAATAAAATATGATAACTGTTATTATTTCATTTTCATAAACTAATAATACTTAGTGGATCAAAAATGAACATGATTTATTCACTTATTGAATTATATTGGGAAGTAGTTAATTTTATATATAAATCATATTCTATAGGAATCATTATGAACATTTTCCTAATCTCTCTTAACGAAATTGTCTAGCGTATAATACTGCAGTCTTCATCAAAATTCACTAGGTAAGTGAACCAGGTTGTTTTATAGCCCTATCGCAAGCCCCTGGATCACACTTAATTTGATGTACAGTATGTAAACAGGATGCTCTCGGGCAGGCAGCCTTGCAAGTTCGGCTTAACATGTGCAGATTTATTTGCTAGATAGATCACAAGCGGAGGACTTACAAGCCACAGAGACATCACAGATGTGACAGGCAACCCCGCAAGACTTTCCATACAACCAGATTTTCATGGAGTGCTTTCCAAAGTTAATCAACCACAAAATTTCAAGGATATGAATTAGATTATCTAATCAAAGTGTACGGTGGAATTATTAATAAAATGGGTTTTTGCCTCCAAAAACTATTCAGTATTTTAAAAAATTTAACAAAATTTTAGATAAATATTTATGGAAACTTTTTTTTGTATTATTTAAATATAAATACAAAACCAAATTTCAATTTTTGTATACTTGTCTGGTATATTGACCAATGTTCAACTATGTGAATACAGTTGAACATTCATGGTCAATATGCAAGAATTATAATACATTAAAAAAAATGCCAAGAATTATAATACATAATATTTATTAAACTATGAAATTATATATTGACATTTTGACAAAATTGTGATCAAATATCTAGACATGGCCAAATTATACTAGCATGTTTTTACATATCTTGTTTAATGGCCCTTGCACCAGGTCAATGAGGTCAAGGACATACTTATATGACAAAACATGATGTGCAAGAATCTACAAATGTCATTTTTACTAAAGTAGCTCAGCCAGAGCTTAAGTTGTTCTTTGCGATTACTTAAGAGACAATGAGATGCTGTTTTGGAGCAAAGTAAATAAGTACACTACAGTTCACTTTATAGGATGCCTGACAAACCAATCTCATACAATGCTTGGGCAGGTCTAATTTTGGCTAAAATAGTTCTTGCGTAATCATCCAAAATGATAAAGTTGCAGAAATATAACATTATGGTTTTGATAAAGGATTCAATTCTGAGACTTGACAAATGTGTTCTGAAACATGACATTACTTCAAGAAAACTTGGATGTAGTAAACAACAAAAATATATTTTCAGTTGGTGGCTTAATCTATGAAACTATTATTTTTATTACAGCTTACATCAGGAACACCTGAAGGAAAGGATAGGAAACTAGGGATTTAATTTTTTTTAATGACTTAATAAGACATTCAAAGAAGTCAACTCCAAAGCACTCAAAATTAATTTATAAGCTCTTTAACTCTTGTTTTCAATGGTGACTTTTTATAGACTAGAAAGTATATTTTCAAATTTCAACGTTACAGTATGCCCACCGAAATCGATATACTCGCCCTACTGCACATCTTCAACTTTCATTGTTGCAATATGCTTAAATAAACAACACATATTTATCTAAGTCACATGTTAAAAAAAACTGTCATGTTAAACAAAAGAACAAAAACAATTGAAATAAAGGTCAATAAAGGGACACATTTTACTGTATATACTGTAATACTTTCTATTTAATGACTTTCAAAATTGAAAAATACTTGGATTGAAGATGTTTTATATCTACATAATGAGCAGGCTATGTCAAATTCTAATCAATTTTCCAGGAATAACAGTAAATGGAATGCATTACACTTGTATAAATTATGTAGTACGATTTAATCTAGTTTCGTCTTTACTTATGGATGGTTGGGTTTATTCGGTGTAAACACCAAAGATAACACACGAAAGTCTGAAGAAGACTTATTTCCAGTGAGGTCCTACTAGGGGTGACTGGGTAGTACAACTGAACCAGGGACCAACAGATTTTCCCGGTTCAGCGTACACAGTGGCTACAATCTGTTTAGCTACCTGAGCACAGCTGCTCCCACAATATAACTAATGGACTACAAAATTACCCACTGGCACTACATCAATTGAAAATAAAAATTACATTATTTGATTTTGAAAAAATAATTAATTCATAATAATATTTGACAATTCCAAAAAAAAAGTTTGGGTGGACAGAGAACGGAAAATTGTGAGGGGGTTAACTCTGTTTTTCTATAAAATAAGCCAATATAATAATACAGTAAGTATAATATTATTAGAATCAATTAATCATAAATGTAGTGTTTCTGTAAGCTAAGAAAATAGTTTCCAAGAACACTTTCATGTGTCCGAGGCCAAGAACAATTTCTTATGGAATGGTTTTTAGTCATAGCCTAGCAGTATGTCCTTAAAAAAGAAACAATATACAGTAGTATAGGTGATGTGTTTGTCTACAATATAAATTTCCCCTTTGTATTCTTTTTTTACTTTCCTAAGCTACTAAGTGTGGCTGTATCAATGAATTATTTAAATGTATTGTGTTAAGTAATTCTGAACGAATAGCTTTGGCATGTGCCACCAACTTAAAATAACAGCTTCTACCACCAATTGTGTATCGGTATATCCACTTACAATCGTATGAAGCCTGCAAGTGTATAGTTTAAAGTATGTATCATGCTAAAGGTATTAAAGCATTAATATTACATTAAATGTTTTATGTGGCTGAGAAATTTTAGGGACGTCTACAGGATGACATTCTTATGCCAACAGTTGCCAACTCATAAAGGAATCTAGTCAAGTGACCATCTGCAAATGTTAAGTTCAATCTTATCTACTGTACCATCAGTATCAAAATTGCGACATGGCTTGAGATGATGTGCATTGCAACATTTTACCCCCTAATTGCCACAGACTTATTACAGTATCTTATCTATAGAACAAACATAAGTAATTAAAGCTGAAATACACAGCTTCCGTGATATAGATTTTAAGACATAAAAATACACATTTTCATCTCAATTTTATGTTAATATTTCTGGTTCTGTAAAGGAAAAATAAATATGTGGTCAATTTTCAGTCTTATTAAAAGTAATGCCTAGAATTTAATACAACAGATGGAATTTTTTAACAATATATTGATCTCTACTATTACTGTTATTGGGAATTTATATTTTTAGGTGGTAAAACTCAAGCCGAGTTTACTCCAAATTTTAATTGTCTTGAGTGACTGATCAACATCAGTTCCAGAAAAATACTCATCTCATACCACACAAAATACAGACTATGGACAGACTTAAACAGCAATTAAATTAAACATTTAACAATTTATCTAGAGAAAAACTATTTTGCTTCTTCATAAATATTTACCTGTATCTTTACATTGAATTTATTTTGGCAAGCTCTCTGTTCAACTATGTTATCTCTATTTTCTTGGGAATTCAACAATGCACAAATAGATAATTTTGAAATGAAGGTATAATTTTGAAATGAAGGTGATACCAACACAACTGCATTCAATATTTCAAACCCCACAATGCCATAAAACAAATTATGTCACATGGAAAGATTCTGAAATATTTCCAAATTTCTAATTGTGACTAACTCCTTTCTTTTCTTCATTCTATTTCTATATTCTTTTTTATTTTATTATTATTACTTTCAATTTAATTTTCATATTTCTCTTTATTGAATAAAAGATATGTCATAGTTTATATAATCAGGTTATAATTAATACCAGGTCATAGATTATTTTATCAGGTCATAGTTTATAAATAGGTTATAGTTCACAGCATCAGATGTTGTTATAGTTTAAAACATAGCTATGACAGTTGTGCAACAGAGGTCATGTAATGAATTGTGTCAATTCTAAATAGGATACACAGGGCATTTTGAAATTCCGACAACTACTTAAATACAGTTCACAAATCCCAGCTGTAAGAATCCATTTGAAATGTCTACAGAATGCCAACCCAGCAGCATCTAGAGTTAAGAATAGCAGACAGAGGTGGGGAGAGGGGGTTGATTTTAATACAAAAGAAAAGCTAAGTTCAATTCTCAGTGGGTCTCATTCCATACATAACTCCCTATCTAACTCACTTCAAAACTGTCAAATTTACACTGTACAAACACCAATTAATATTTAATAAGGGATTTTTCTTTAGTTCTCAGTGAACGTGTTAGATTTGGTCAAATTCCTTATAATGAAGATTGGATATTTTTAAAGATATGTGTGAGCTGAGCTAATAAAATTGCCCAATAAAATTCAACATCTAAATTGCTTCTTTTTATTTATAAGTTATTAGCTTTCACTACTAAAAAAATTGTATATTATTTTTATATTTGCAGTGAAGTCTGTAAATCAAAGAAAACTAAATTGGTTCGATCGAAATGTGTCTCATCGGAAGCTATGATTTTTAAAAAATAGCAATTAAATCTTTTTAATTTAATTTTTAGGGTTTCTCACCAGGTTTTACCATAGAGTTTTAATTAGTACCTTTTTTTTATATAACTTAGACAAATTTCTTTACAAACACTTATTATTAGAATTTTAAATCATTAGCTTTTTACATTTGTCATATGAATAGACTCTATACTAATTACGTTGAGTAATTACCTCACTAGAGAGTATTATAACAACAATTTCCACACAGTATTAATTTTCTGACCTTCTTTGGATTTAATCATAGACAGAGAGTTCAAACTGAAATCAGGTTCATTATATAACAGATTAAACTCCCTAACTGCCAATGACTATAATCATTGGCAGTTAAAGTTTGAACTGTTATTTAATCATTGACAGATAGGGAGTTCAAACTCTAATAAAGTTCATTAATTAACAGTTTGAAGCAAATGTAAATCAATCTTCCTAACAAGTATGACTCACAAACTTCTTTAGTGTTTCAACTATAATGAGTTGCTATTACCGTTCATTTTATTTTCTATCTTTTTCTCCCTCACATCCTTTCATCAG